TATTGTTGCTAGTATAACTCTAAATCCGAATGTTGTTTGTTCATGCAATTTCGAACCTAAGATGTTTAAGTTTTTATCCTCTTTTATACTAGGTCACTTGTACGGATTCATGGTTAGATTCACACACACCAGAGACTCAACATTTTTACCTTCTCTTTTTCCAGAACCGTCTGCTTTCTTTGGGTCGTACCAAATTGTCTTGTTACTGAAAAGTCTATCACAGGTTTGACTTTTTGATCATGATCCATGACGAGGGCCCGGGGACGATGGACCATGCGAGTTGTGGCTCTCGAGAGAGACTTGGTCAACAAAAGCATGATGCAAAATACAACTTTATTCTTCTTTTCTATCTTAAATCAGAAATTGCTAATCTATGACAAGCTGTCACCTTGGATCATGTGGGTTCCTTCCTAGATACCAACAAAAAAACAGCAAATGAAGACAAGGTTTTACATTTTAATGACAAAGGTTAAGAATGAAAAAAGTGGACCTAAAATTTGGTAAGTTTGGTTCTTTCTAATGTAAGTTCGAGAGCTGGATAATTGGGCTCTTTGAAGGAAAGAAAGTTGTCAAGTTCAATGGCTAACAACAGGAGGTCAGTCAAACACTCCATGGTCAGTCGCATTGACCCAAATTGCATTTTGAAAAAGTTTTCTGCTCTCCAGTGAAAAGATGATTTGATATACATTAAAAAGAATTTACAGGCAGAACAGAAAGACCTCTTTGTTTAGGACAATCGTACTAACTAATAATAATAGCGTGACCGACAATTAAGTTATTTTTTTCAGTCAGATGTCTCTTTGGATATTTATTAATTTATTAATTTCAACTCTCTCTCTGGTTGCTTTCTTTGAATGGAAATTGTTTCCTTGACTGACTGATTCACAAGGCCACGGCAGTTGACTTAGAAAAACAACACCATTTTAGTCTGCTTTCTGCATTACCCAGGGACCTCTTAACCGTGTTTTTTTTTATTGAATCGGTCTTTAAGACTGAAAGCTCTCATTTTTTCCTTCCTTTGGATGCTAAATTGGGTGAAGTACACAAAACACAGACATAACGAAGTCGGAGGTTTTTTATTTATTCGTTTGTCCGTTTTCTTTTCTTTCTTTGGATAGTGGAGGGAGAGAGGGAAGAGAGAGAAAGAGAAATAACCATTTAGTGGTTGAAGCTTGAAGGAGATAGAATAGTTGATAAGAACAGACAAGGAGAAAAGGACCAGTTTAGGCACATCAAATTCTTCATCTTCATCTGTTTGTCCACATAGCATCTAACAAGAAGAGAAAAGAGAGAGAGACAAAGATGGGGATTTGCTGGGGTTCTCCAGCTGGGAACCCAACGCCAGTAACTACTGGTGATCTCACTACAGGTAGCCCACAAGTAAATTTTGATGATTTGTTCTTGTCGTTCACCAGATTCCATTAACTCGTCAAATTTTCATTTGGGTTTTGTTGAATTTGATTTTTCTCTTATTAGATTTTGAGCAATGCCTATGATCAATTGAAATCCAAACTTCATGCCAAAGTTCCTTCTTTTCAAATGCAAAATTATGTTTCTGAACTATGTTTTGACCAGTAATTGAATAATGAATATTCTGATCTGGTTCATTATTCAAGTTACTAGATTTTGTTTCTCTTGGAATTTCTTGGATGTCAAGTGAAAGTTGATATTCTTGTGACTTGCTACATGACGAAAAGAAAAAAAAAGTTCATTCTTTTTCATGTGAGTGTCATTTCTAACTTTATACTGTTTCTTCTTCAGGGGTCATTAACATATCTCAGACAACCAGTAACACCACATCTTCAGGGGGGAGTACTATATCTCGGAATAGCCAGTTCTCAGCAGCAAGTGGCGATGAGGCCAGTCCACATGGGCAGATCTTACCCACCCCAAACTTGAGGATGTTCAGTTATTTAGAATTGAAGGCTGCAACCAGAAACTTCAGATCAGATACAGTTCTTGGGGAGGGAGGCTTTGGGATGGTCTTCAAAGGTTGGCTTGATGAAAAGGCACCAACCAAGTCTGGAAAAACCACAGTGATTGCTGTGAAAAAGTTGAGTTCTGAGAGCTTGCAAGGGTTTGAGGAATGGCAGGTAATTTAACTCGACTTGGGAAATAATTAATATAATTGGTGACGTTCAATTGTTTTTGTCTTAGCAGTTTAGCTTGTTACCTCTAAGCTTAATTTTAAATGACCCTTTAGATAGGTTAATCCAAATTGGAAAATATTGTTTTGAGATGTTAGAATCTTGTAGACGAAAGTTAAACTGTGAATTAGTTAACTATCTTTGAAACTTCGATTGCTGTGGTATCCACTGCTTATTTAGGAGGGTGGAGTGCCGATTGGTTTATCCAGCTGGTGCCCTGAGTCCACAACAACTTAAGGGAGATATAGAGTTCAGAGTGATAAAACAATTTGATGATATTGTGGATTCTAGTTGAATAAAAAAGGGCCAAGTCGCTAGAGTTCTTTTATTCCAAACCCCTCAACTCAAGCCCTGATCTCTCTCTCTCTCTCTCTCTCTCTCTCTCATCCATTGCACACATACATAAATTGTACATTTGGAGGATTTCTCGTGTATTTGACCAGTTTTCTAAAAGTATAAAGTTTGTAAACAGTGTATCAAGTCAATTTAGTTTACACATTGTGTGCTTATCTGATTGTTATTTTTTGGTGCAGTCAGAGGTGAATTTCTTAGGGCGACTATCTCATCCTAATCTTGTAAAGCTATTGGGATACTGTTTGGAGGACACGGAGCTGCTGCTCGTGTATGAGTTCATGCAAAAGGGTAGCTTGGAAAACCATCTATTTGGAAGTAAGAAAAGAAGCATAAATAAGTTTTGACATAACTGGGTATACATGCAAGCATTTCCCTGTGTGCAGGCATATGGGTGTTTACAAGTGATGCAAGTTTGTCATACATTTTTCAAATCAGCAAGTTCTTCATATGTTTTTGAAACACATCAAGTTCGTTTTTTGCCTTTGCCTTACACTTCATGGTCTTTTTACTTCTGCAGGGGGCTCAGCTGTTCAGCCACTTCTGTGGGATATACGGCTTAAAATTGCAATAGGAGCAGCTCGAGGCTTGGCTTTTTTGCATACATCAGAGAAGCAAGTAATCTATAGAGATTTCAAAGCTTCAAACATACTACTTGATGGGGTAAACTTCTATTTGATTATGAACAGTTATTGAGTACTAAACTAATGACGGCGGATATCTTATAGTACTCATTTCCTTGGCATGTTTTCAACCACTTCCTGTGCAACCTATCTCATTCTTGTCCACCATATCATGCTGGTGAAAGAAACATCAAATCATTATTATGAATAAAATCATGTGTAATTCAAATAATTATACTCTTACAAAATCAAAAAAGGAAAAAATTAGTAATGATACTCTTAGGCTTTAGCTCAATTGATAAATCATGAGGTTCGGTTTCACGGTAGCTTTTAAGTTTGAAGCTTGGTTAGAAAATACTGACTAAATTATATAAAAAAAGAAACTCAGAAGTTGCTTATCGACTGACAAATTAAACTTGTTTTTGCTTTTTTTTAACTTTTTGTTGTATTGCAGTCATATACTGCCAAGATATCCGACTTTGGCTTGGCAAAAATGGGTCCTTCAGCTAGTCAATCGCACGTGACAACACGAGTTATGGGTACATATGGTTATGCTGCTCCTGAGTATATTGCCACAGGTAATTCTATGTAACCTGTTGAATTTGTGGGCTCCTTGGTTTGGCCAAATTCAAGTTAATTCCATGACATTCTTCATATCATGTTTGATTGAACAGGGCATTTGTATGTGAAGAGCGATGTGTATGGTTTTGGTGTTGTTCTGGTCGAGATGTTGACAGGCTTGCGTGCACTTGATACAAATCGTCCGAGTGGGAAACATAATTTAGTGGACTGGATAAAGCCATTCCTATCAGATAAAAGAAAATTGAAAGGAATTATGGACCCCCGGTTGGAGGGAAAATATCCTGTCAAAGCTGCATTCCGAATTTCTCAGCTTGCTCTAAAGTGCATTGAATCTGAACAGAAAAACCGGCCATCAATGAAGGATGTTGTGGAGACATTGGAACGGATTGAATCTGCCAATGAACATTCAAGGGAGCCTAGGCCCCGTTTAACTCATCCTATGGCTCATCGACAAGGCCAGAAGCCGCTGCATCATCGCTCGCCGCTTCACCCCAGGCTGGATGGGAATCAAACCTACCAACAGTCGCCTCGAGTGCGGTAACTCTGATCCGACTGCTGTCAAGCAAGCGCAGACCTTTCCTTAGGCAAGATCATGTCAAAAAGTTCCCATTTCTTCATTAATGGGAGGTTAGAATGAGTTTGTTGTTGTATTGAACTGGGTATGTTTTTGTTAGCAGTGAAAGTGTAATTATTGTGTAGCTTTGGTGATTTGAGAGCCTGGAAACTTGTTTAGTAGAGCCATTAGTTATGAATTTTCAGGCGGCAAAATTTATAGTTACATGCCACCACAACCCAAACCCCTCCATTTTGCTATCAATTCATTGATTGTCAGGTTACCTTTTACTTTTGTAAGTTTGTAATGAAATGAAATGAACAAATTTACAATTATTTTGTATATCAAAAGCAAAGCTGAAGAAATTCCTTGAGCATTTTTACCTCTGCAAGGGTAAATTTATCACAGTAATTGAATAATCATGTAAATGTATCTGTAAATCAGTGCTCATAAGCAATTTTATTAAAAGATCGTGGAAATTTGTTAGAAATTCAGGTGCTTATGTAGAAAGCTCTTTTATGCTTTTATACACACTTTTAAATAGGTCTGTCAATGCAGTCAAAAATACTTTTGATTGTGAAAAAGTGCTTTTAGCAAGTCTAGAAACACTCCCTCCCAAACATAACGTGCCATGAAGAAGTTATGACTTTGAGGAAGGCTCCAATATGGCCATGTCGTTCGACTGTTTAACGCGGACCTCTTTATGACATGTCGTTTTTGTAAGAAGGAAAAAGAAAAAAAAAAGGGGGAACGACCATGTCGTCGTAATGAATCGGAAATTCAGAAATAGAAGCGATTCTCACTCTCTCTCTCTCTCTCTCTCTCTCTCTCTCTCTCTCTCTCCTCTGTACATCGGCAATGGAAGTTCGTCTGCTTGTCCTCTGCATCTCATTGGTAAACAATTTACTTTCTCTTCTTTTTTCATTCCCTCTCAACGGTCCGTTCACGACGATTCTGCTTGGAATTGGATCGCGCTTCTAAATTGCTTTGACCCTGTCTATGCATTGCGTGCTCTTTGGGGCTGTCGTTGTGGTTTTCTAGGGTTTTATGCAGATTGATTAATGCTAATCTTACTTTGGTAGTTAATGCTGTATTGATCTGGCTCTGTATCAGTTAATTTCAGATTCGGTATTAAATTCTGCCTTTGATGTATCTATTCATTCAGGTTGCTTTACACTGTGTTCTAGTTGGAGCAGATATATCTGATGCTTCAGCAAGGTATGATCCTTTTTGTTCCTGATTTTCAGATTTGCTTCTTTTGATTTTATCCAATTCGTTACTCTCTCATCGTTTTGATTGCTGTTGGTGATTTCCTTTCATATGCATTTATTTCAGTCGAAGAGATATCAGTAAATATCAACCGTTGTGTGATTGCGAGCAATGCCAAGACAGCAAGGTTCTCATCCCATCTTTTGAAATTTGATGTTAATTTTAGTAACTATGCACTTGTGGTGATGCTATTATAGTTATGCAACCTGTAAGAGACACACTTCTTTAGTTGTTTGTGATTTGGTATCCCTTTGATATCTTTACATGGGGTTGTGTACGTTTCCTTTTCATCAGCATGCTTGTAGCAGTTGATTTATTATCTTTATTCAAGATAGGTTTGAAAAGGGTACTTCGAAAATGTTGAAGTCCAGAATACCTGAGCAACGAATTACAGAACAGAACCTAAGTTAGCAATTATAGTTTCTGCATGAGTAAGTTCAGACTTAGTAATATAGATGACTAAATATTTAGTATATTATATCCTTTGCCATTCTTCTTGATGATCTAAGGAAATGCATTATACCGGAGGGAATAGTTCCAATAGAGTTGTATTTTGATCTTCAATCATTTAAGTTCCCTCACTGATCGCTATATGAGAGAGGGAGGGAGAGTAGGGGACGGGAAGAGAGGGAGAGAGTGATGAACAGGGGAAGAGAACATGATACCTGTGGAGCTATATAAATGATTGATAGAATTCATATGATAGGTGGTAATAGAGTTGATTAATTGCTGAAGGGATATGTATCTTTGACAGACACCCACAAACCCTTCCTTCATATGTTCATCTTTATCTTTAATTGAAATGGCTTTTATGTAAACAACGTATCATATTGCAAAATCTTTACTATATGGTCAAATGCTGACTGAACAGGAAGAAGGTGTATCTTCTGTCATTGGAGCCAGCACTCTTCCAGATGAAAAGGTATTTGGTTATGGGTACTTTTCTTTTTGTTCAGAGTAGATAACATTGGTGCTTATGTTTATCGTATTCCACACAGAATATTGACATAATTGCGACATACAGCAACAATCTTGGAGCTGTGCGGAGCAGTAGGGTTAAAATGGGGGATCTTTCTGCTTCCTGGGTCTTGGAAAATCCTATTGATGGAAGGCATGACCATCCAAAGAGTTTTCAGGTATTGGATATTCAGTTTCCTTTCATATTGGAGGCAATGAATGCCACGTAGATAGATCTTTCACAACCTTTAATATTTCTATTTGTTTTAGCTCAACTGGATTGGAGTTGTATTTTGTAGATAGAAACATTGACAGGAGATTTACTAGTTAGTGCTAATTTCCAGATGGTTGAGGATCCATTTCAATCTGGAATGACCTTTGAAGAGAAGACTGAGCACCCTCCAGATGATCATCAAGCTGGAGAAGGTGAACTCCCATATTCTCGTCTATCATCAATGAGCCCAGTGAAGCTCAAGCGGCGGGTGAATTGTCAAATGCTTCTTATTTTACTTCACTATAATCGTTTTGTTCTGTTGGGTTGGGGTTTTGATGGTTTTCCTGGCCTGTTAGGAAATGCGGCAAGAAAGGAGGAATCTTCGGACTGCAGAGTTGATAGGAAAAGATAAAGAAGCTAATAACCAGATGGCAGCAGCAGCAATTGAACGATCAAAAGGCTTTGACCCCATTGTCAAGGGAAAGTACAGCATATGGCGAAGTGATTATGAAAGCCCAAATTCTGATTCAACCTTGAAACTTATGCTGGATCAGATTATAATGGCCAAAGCTTACGCAAACATTGCCAAGTCTAAGAATGAAAGCGATCTTTATAATTCTCTCATGAAACACTCTAAACTTAGTCAGCATGCTATCGGAGAAGCGACTTCTGATGTTGAGCTTCATTCGAGGTTTTGGCTATTCTTTATCTGGTTGCAAGCTTACCAGGGTCGGTCTTGATTTTTCATGCTTAGTTTTTTATTTATTTTATTTTTCCTTTTACCAGTGCACTTAACCGAGCAAAATCAATGGGTCGCGTTCTCTCTATAGCAAAGGACAAATTATATGACTGCCTCACTGTGGAAAGGAAGCTAAGAGCCATGCTTCAGTCAACTGAAGAGAATGTAAGTGATCTGAAGAAAAAGAGTGCATTCTTGACTCAGCTTGCCGCAAAAACAGTCCCTAAACCGTTACATTGCCTTCCTCTACAACTTGCCTCCGACTATTTCTTGCTGGGTTATCATAGTAGAGAGGATGTAAACAAAGAAAAGCTTCAGGATCCTTCTCTCTATCACTATGCCATCTTTTCCGATAATGTTCTAGCGACATCAGTGGTTGTTAATTCTACCGTGCTGCATGCAAAGGAACCCAACAAGCATGTTTTCCATGTAGTCACCGATAAACTAAATTATGCTGCTATGAGAATGTGGTTTCTTGTCAACCCTCCTGTAGGAGCAACAATCCAGGTTGAAAACATTGATGATTTCAAGTGGCTGAATTCTTCTTCGTGTTCTGTTCTCCGTCAACTTGAATCTGCCAGACTTCAAGAATATTATTTCAAGGCAAATCATCCTTCATCTCTCTCTCTGGGTTCTGATCATCTCAAATATCGGAATCCAAAATACTTGTCCCTGCTGAATCATCTCAGATTCTACCTTCCTGATGTTTACCCAAAGTTGGACAAGATCCTATTTTTGGATGATGATATTGTAGTTCAGAAGGATTTGACACCTCTTTGGTCTATTGATCTTCAAGGGATGGTAAATGGTGCAGTGGAGACCTGTAAAGAGAGCTTCCATCGGTATGATAAATATCTCAACTTCTCAAATCCAATAATCTATGCAAATTTCGATCCAAATGCTTGTGGCTGGGCATTCGGCATGAATATCTTTGACTTGAAGGAGTGGAGGAAGCGAAACATCACTGGAATATATCATCGTTGGCAAGACATGGTAAAGTTTCATTACATTCATTTCTTCCCTTGATCCCCATTTTTTTATTCTCAACTCATATTACATATTCTTGTTGGTTGCTTAATTTTTTTTTATTTTTTAAACTTTATGCCTGTTTTATTATGTAAGCTAGGTGTGTTCAAATTTTATGGCGAATGATGATGGAATAACTGTTTTGCAGAATGAGGATAGAACTCTTTGGAAGCTTGGTACATTGCCACCAGGACTGATAACCTTTTATAACCTGACCCATCCACTGGATCGGGGCTGGCATGCGTTGGGACTCGGCTACGACCCAGCCCTCAATCAAACGGCAATAGAGAATGCAGCTGTTATACATTACAATGGAAACTACAAGCCATGGCTAGATTTAGCTATTTCAAAGTACAAGGCATACTGGTCAAAATATGTAATGTTTGATAACCCTTATCTTCGACTTTGTAGCATCAGTGAATAGAAGAAAACTAAACACCCCCTCCCCCTTCAAACACACATGCTCTTGTAAAATTTGTTGTCCAAAGAAGAAATGGAAATTCAAAATTCTTTATTTCTATCAGAGATGTTGTTATGCGTCCAGGAAGAGAACAGGACGTTTCTGCAAAAGATTTCTCCCAAGTTACAATTCGGAAAAATTGCCGAAAACCTTTATGAGAAAAAGAATTGGACTGAATTTTTTACCCAGAGGAGTGTGTGTATTTTGCTCAAAAACACTTGTCAACTAAGGAGAAATTCTTCCCTGCGACTGCCACTGATGTTGCTAATTCATTTATGTTATAAAATGTGTATTTATTTATTAATACTATACTCGAACTCTACAAATATCAAACTTTATTACAATTTACAATAAGAGTCCATGATAATAGCATATGCGTATGTGCGGCATATTGGAAATGCGTTTCCGAAGCAATCACTTGAGTGTTTCTAATTGCAATTCGAGGCTCAAAGAGTTATCATCTAATGGAAAATGGCAAGACCTGCTCTGCCACTACCATGAAATCAAGAAAGCTGGATTTCAACTAGCAGACCCTTCAGCCTTCCCTCCTATTCTCAAAGCATGTTCAAATCTTCTCTCTCGTACCTATGGAAAGTCAGTACATGGATGTTTGATCAAGAATGGATTTGAATCCTACACTTCCATTGGTAATTCCACCATGGACTATTACATCAAAACAGGGGACCTAGATTCTGCATTGGGTGTTTTTAACTGTATGAGGAGCAGAGATGGAGTTTCTTGGAATATATTGGCTTATGGGTACCTTGATGGGGGTGATTTAGTACAAGGGTTGTGGTGGTTTAACAAGGCTAGGGTTTGTGCTAATGGGTTTCAACCTAATACTTCTACTTTGGTGCTTGTAATTCAAGCTTGCCGTCGCCTTCGAGCTAAGTATGAGGGTCTGATAGTACATGGTTACGTGATTCGAGGGGGGTTTTGTTCTGTATCTTCAGTTCAAAACTCTTTGTTGAGTCTGTATGCAGAAGAAGCTGACATGGACAGTGCGCAGAAATTGTTTGATGAAATGCGTGACAAAGATGTCATCTCTTGGAGTGTGATGATTGGTGGTTTTGTGCATTGTGAGGAAGCTCAGATTGGGATGCTGATGTTCCAAAAGATGGTATATGAGCGTGGTATTGAGCCAGATGGTTTATGTATGGTCAGCATTCTTAAAGCATGCACTCATTTGAAGGACTTGACCATGGGAACATCGGTCCATGGGTTGGTAATCTATAGAGGTTTAGATTGTGATCTGTTTGTTGGAAACTCTTTAATTGATATGTATTCCAAGTGTCAGGATGCAGATTCTGCCTTTAAAGTTTTTGACGCGATGCCACGAAGAAATAGAGTCTCATGGAATTCCATTTTGACGGGATTTGTCTTTAATGAGAGGCATTTGGATGCCCTAACACTGTTTTATTCTATGGGGAAGGAAGGAATTGAGGCAGATGAAGTGACACTTGTGAATGTTCTTCAAACATGCAAGCATTTGCACATGTTTCATTGCAAGTCCGTGCACTGTGTAACAATCAGGCGGGGATACGTATCAAATGAATTACTCCTGAATTCTCTCATTGATACTTATGCAAAGTGCAATGATGTTGACCTTGCCTGGAAACTTTTTAATGGGATGAAGAAAAGAGATGTGGTTTCATGGAGCACCATGATTTCAGGGTTTGCCAGTTGTGGTAGACCTGAGGAAGCAATTACCGTCTTCCATGAGATGATGCAGTTGCAGGCACAAGATCAGAAACCCAATGAGATCACCATTATAAATCTTTTTGAGGCTTGTTCAGCTTCAGCTGAATTGAAGAGGTCAAAATGGGCGCATGGAATTGCTATTAGAACAGGTTTGTCAGCAGAAGTAGCCGTTGGCACTGCAATTGTTGACATGTACTCGAAATGTGGGGCAATAGGAGAATCAAGAAAGGCCTTTGGACAAATTCTTGAAAAAAACAGTGTGTCATGGAGTGCCATGATAGCAGCATATGGAATGAACGGTCTTGGCCATGAAGCCTTAGCTTTGCTTGCCGAAATGAAGCTGTATGGTTTGAAGCCCAATGCAGTGACCATTCTTTCTGTGCTATCTGCCTGTAGCCATGGAGGCTTGGTTGAAGAGGGTGTTTCCTTGTTCAACTCAATGGCTCAGGATCATGGAGTTGAACCAAGATTGGAACATTACACTTGCGTAGTTGACATGTTGGGTCGAGCGGGGAAGCTTGTAATGGCAATGGAGTTTATCAAAAAAATTCCGCAAGATTTGAAGGCGGCTGCCCGGGCAAGCAATGCTTGGGGTGCACTATTGAGTGCTTGTAGAAGCTATAGGAACAGCGAAGTTGGTCTAGAAGCTGCCTCTCATGTCCTTGAGTTGGAGCCTGGAAACTCAGCCGGGTATTTACAGGCATCAAGTATTTATGCAGCAAGCGGGTTGTGGGTTGATGCTGCAAGTATGAGAAGCTTGTTGAAGGAAAGAGGGGTTAGGGTTGTGGCTGGCTACAGCTTAGTGCATGTTGGTCACAAGGCATGTAGATTTGTTGCTGGAGATCATTCACCAGCTCATGATGGAAATACACACTCTATGCTTCAACTGTTGCATGCTTGTATGAAGGCTGAAAAGAGGAATATTGTTGATGACTTGGATTTAATTGAATAACTTTATTTATTTTTGCTCTTAAGAAAAAGGAAAACGAGACTTCAAAGCCAATCTCGTGGACTTCGAAACTCCATTTACAAAGAGTATATACAAGAAATTTACATATTCATAGCCGTGTTATCCATCGACACCCACCCCCAATGACTATCAGGCTCGTAACACTAGAAATTGACGAAAATAATCAAAATTGAAAATTGAAAACAATTACCAACCTAAAAATACTACTATTATTAATGAGTTGGGCTTGGGCTGTTTGAAAGTAAGTATTATTAATTAGTTGGGCTTGGGCTTGGCATTTGATGTTATTAGTCTTTTTTTTTTTGTCATTCACACCCAAAGATTGTTTTCTAATTTTTTGAACCTGAGTGGAACTATTGGGGGGGGTAGTTTTACTGTGGTGCCACCCAGATGCATTTGATATTATTAGTTCAGTTGTACAATTTATCAATGTCGCCCCCTCGTTGTCAAAAAGCATAGAATCACTCCAGCAAGCACTGATTGACTGTTGTTATCACAATTAATTAGGGGCTACTTCACTTAAATGATTGATTGCCCCTTGTTGGTTTTGGAGATGAGTGTTGTTATTTTCACCTCTTGTGCTCTTCACTTACATTATCTTTAGTATTAGTATTTTTCAATCTCAAATCTTTAATTAGTATTTTTCCATCGTATAAATAGATAACAAAAAGGGATCCCGAGTCTCTTAGAGCTGGCAATATTGTACATGACCCGTTAATACGACACGAATTCACACAAAAAATTTAGTATTCGGGTTTGAGTTATCGTGTCATGTTAATATCGTGTTGACCCGTTAGCCACCCGTTAAGCTATCGGGTCATTTCAATGCTCATTCGCAAATACACGAACCAACCCGTTAAGCGGGGTTAGTTTTGTAATTTTCAATTCTAAAAAAAAAACCTTCCTAACCCTGCATCTCTTCATTCCGCGTCGTCTGAGTCTGGGAGTCTCCTCCTCTCTGCAACTCTCTCTCTCTCTCTCTCAAGTCCTCATCTTCTCCTTCTTCTTGCAATCTCTCCTCTCTCTATCTTTCAAGATCTTCCCTTGCCATATCCTCTCTCAAGGTACGAATGTTTTTCAAGATCTATCCTTCTTCTTGCAACCCAAAAATTCGTTCATTCTTCATTTGAAGAAGAAACCACTTTCATATAACAAGGCCACTGCAAACACAGAAGTCATATATAAAAAGTTGAAGTTTGAGGACACAAAGATAAGAACAATACTACAGCTAGGTCCACCAAACACATAATTCGTTTGGAATGATAATTATTTTTTCAGCATGTATTATTTGGGAATGATATTTGTTTGGAATGACACATATTTTTTGGGCATGAACGAACTGTTTGCATTTAAAATTTGTTAAAAAAATATAGGTTTTTTAAATTTTTATTAAAAAGTTTATTTTCTTAATGGTTGGAACGGGTTGTGTCGTGAGATTCACGAATTGTAGCAGGTCGTGTTCGTATTTGATATTTTCCACCTGTTTTTTTATCGTGTCATGTCGTGTCAACCCGTTAAGAAAAGCGGGTTGACGCAAACACGACACGAACATTGCAAACATGACACGAATGCCAGGTCTAGAGCCTCTACATTTAGTTCTTGTGCATTTACTTGCATTTCACAATATTTAAACTGTTCAAATAATCTAACTGTTTAAGACATGACACATGGCATGTGAGTAAACTTTTAAAAATTAATATAAAAAAATTAATCTAATCACAAAATTCAGTGAAAACCAACTCTCCCCCTCCCCACCACTAGCCACTCCAACGCCACCCAAACGAGATGCCATTTCTCTGTCTATTTTTATGGCCAAGCCTAACCCCTCAGAAATTACAAATCTATCCCCCCTTAAACCATGATATAAGCAGGGTGTCAATACAAATCAAAATACTCAATATCGAGAACCCTAGTTTTGTGGAGATTCACTATTATACTCAATATAGGGGCCTAAATTATATATATTAAAAAAACCTATATGAAATGGATTTTAGAAACACACCCAAAGCTTATTCACAACATAACAAAAAGGCTTTTAACTTCTTATAAATTAAAAAACAAGCCCAACCCCAAAACATTCAATAGGGAATCAAAGTAATTTAATAATCAAAATTAAATTAGTGCTAAGAATGAGTATATGACTAAATATCTCTATATTTTTTTTTGTCAATTGAGTACACTGAAAAAGGGCCGGTGAGTGGAGAGGTTGAATGGTTGATTGCTGGAATAATTTACCGATGCATTTTGATATTACATATAATACTTTAGGTTATAATCATACTTAGGTGGATCGATTATTTTTAATTTGTATGTGTTCTTACTAGCCCACTTTCCCCACCCTTCCCAATTCTTCCCAGCCCCCTCCCCCTCTCGACTGTCGTGCAGAAGGGTGTGGTTTTTCAGTTTATGTTTTATTTTTTATTTAAATGATAATACATTAATTAATTTTAAACAATTTTTGTAATAGAAAAAAAAAATTTACACTTATACACTTGAAAGATCTCATTATAACAATTGAAAACTAGAAAGAGAAACTAAGAGAATTTGAGGGAGAGAAGGGAAGGGAGCTCTAGAGAAGTGTTTGAGAGCTCCCCCCTTGGGGTGTGTTTACAAGCTTAGAGAACTTCCCTATTTATAGGCCTAGGGGAAGTGAAAATCTGAATTCATCCTTTTTCATCTGATTTCTTTTGGATTAGTCTGGTCATCACCCTCAGGCACTCTCTCTTTTAGTTTTCTACATCATTGATTTCATTTGGCTTTTTCTTAGTCATTTTATGTGCATCCATTTTTGTGTTTCTACAATTTTTGAATTCGTAAATGTTCAAAATTAAAGAATTAATTGAAGTAATATTCAATATAGATCATTATTCGAACTATTTGTTTGCTCATGACTCTAATTTTGCAAAATTCCAGAAGAGATGCTGGTACAGATTTTATCAAGGTTGCCTCCCAAATCTCTGATGAGGGTTTAAGATGTGTGCACAAGTCATGGTATGCTCATATCGAGAACCCTAGCTTTGTGGAGAAGCAACTCTCCATTTCCTTACACAACAATCTCTCTTCTTTCACACGCATCCTTTCAATTCGTCCTGTCCATAAAAATAAGGATAGTAGCGACGACGTCGAATGGGATCAGATTTTGTCTCTATTCAATCTTTGCAGCGCCGGTGATACTCATGAATATTCCGATGTCGAGGCCCTCAATATTGTTTCACTTTTAGATGGAATAAAAAACACTATAGTAGCCTGTACGATATTTCAGGTCATTGTCATGGGATCATTTGCCTAACTTGTGATATAAATGAGACTATTATTCTATGCAATCAAGGAAATCAAACGTCTTCCTAAGTCATGACTCATGCCTTCAACCTTCCTAGAAGGTGAAGATGAAGATGGAGATGAAGAAGATTTGTTAGACTACTATGCATGGATGGGAGTTTTGGTGTGGGATTTGGGTATGATTTCAAAGCTGATGATTACAAGGTTGTTCAAGTCGCTCTCAAGTGGCAGTAGGATGAATACACGGTTGAGGTATACTCCATGGAAACTGATTGTTGGAGAGAGTTGGATGGTGTTGATATACCAGGTTCCATCTTTTGGTATTCTTCTTTTGAAATGTACTTCAAGGGAATATGTATTTGTTTGTTTGACATGGGAGATGAGGTGTTTCGTAATATATCCTGCCCGGATAGTTTCCGTGAATGGATCCATTGCTCTTTTTTCCTATGACCCTCAAACATATGCTTTGAAATGTGGGTGATGGATGACTTTTGTGAGGCTTCCTCTTCCTCTTCCTGCTGCTGGAGGAAGCACTTAACTATGTCTATAATGGCTGTCCTGTTCATATGCCATTGGTTTTTTTTTTTGATAGCGATGATGAGCTTCTCATGGTTTCCAAGGATGGATATGTTAACTGTAATATCAATACGCATACACTTTAGTATCTTCCTTTTCATGGGGCGGTTCGATTCAGAAGGGAAAACAGTTTAGATAGGTTTCAAGCTCTTGCTTATGTAAATAGTATTGTTTCGCTAAAGAGATAGATCATGAAACAATTGTGGCTACTTGCACCACTTGTACAATATATATATATATATTCTTATAATTTCCCTAAACTCTATATAGTCCCCTTTTATTGAGGGATCTATTATAAATAATTTTATTTAAGGGACGCCTTTTAAGGTACCCTACGAATTTTTTTTCAACACAATTTATTTTTTAAGTCTTTATTTATAGATCATCCTTGCAAAAAATTAGACAAATCGAAAACCATTTAGATATCTAATTGTATCCTATAAATTTAATGGGCACGGTGTTTCAAGAAAGTACTAAAATTTCAATAATTTAATTAAGTGGTTAAATCATATTGAATTCAAGTGATTTTTTTTTCCACAAATGATCTTTGAATTAATATCTACAAAATAGACGGTTTATGTTAGTGGAATATAATGCAGAGTGGGCCCTACAAGGATATCCCTCAACTAAAGCTCAATATATATAAATAAATATATATATATATATTCATTATTACTATAGTAATTAGGTCAAAAATCACCTTTGGTCCATGTAGTTTGCCTCTTTGTCACTTTTAGTCCTTGTAGTTTCAATTTGGTCAATTGTAACATTGTAATTTCATAATTGTAGCAATTCAAGGACAAAGTCATGAATTCCATCAATTTCTATCACGGAGTGAGGGGTATTTTCGTACATTTATGCAATTTAAATGTCATAGCCAAGTAGAAACCCCCTATTTCATGTTAGGGTGCGAAAACGAGAATTTCGATTTAGGGCTTTTCCAAAACTTGGGTTTGTGTTGTAAGATTTGGGAAAATTTGTGGAGGGCTTGAGTCGAGGACAACCTAAGGATGAGATAAATGTCAGAAATGGACGGAAATATCCCTAACTTTGTGAAAGAAATTGACAGAATTCGTAACTTGTTATTAAATTGTTACAATTATGAAATTACAAGGCGCAATTGATCAAATTAAAATTATAGGGACCAAAAGTGAACAATAGACAAACTATAGAGATCAAAAGTTACTTTTGACCTAATAAATAATTATGTGAAATTTTAATTTCTGCGTAAAAGTTTTTATTTATTTATAAATTTTATTGGTCGAGTTCCCCGTAAAAATTTCTACGGGTCAACAAAAATGAAGCGCAAAGTTTTACCGTTTTACTTCTGATAAAAAATAACTGAAAAAAAAAAAAGGCTTATTATCACAAAACGTCCCTGACGTTTGCAAAATTATCACATTGCATCCCTAACGTTTTTTTGTATCATTAATGGTCCCTAACGTTAATACAGGTACTCTTAAATAGTCCCTCTGTCAAAAAAACCATTAAATCTAGGGGTATAATCGTCAAATCAATCCAAAATTATAAATTTTTTTTTCCTTCCCTTCTCTCTCTCTCTCTCTGTTTCTCTTTTTTTTTCTCCTCTCTTTTCTCCTCTTTTCTTCTTCTTTTCCTTCGCTGTTTCTTCTTTCTCTCCCTTTTTTTTTCTTCTTCTTTCCTTCTTTGTTCCTCCTTTTTCTTCTTTCCTTCTTTCTCTTTTTTTTTTTTCTTTTTCTCTTTTTTCTTCCTCTTTCCTTCTCTTGGGGTGGTGATTTGGGTGGCTAGAGTGCTGGGTTGGTGGGCTGTGGAATGGGGCAGGGAGAGAGTTGCAGAGAAAGTACATAGAGGGGCAGGCAGTGGCGGATCCAGGAATTTTCATTCCGGGGGTCAACGTATAAAAGGTTGTAAAAAAAATAATAATAATAACAACAACAACTTCTTCATCTCAAATCCTCATCCTTCTCTTCTTGATACACGAGTTTGTAAGACCTTCACCAGCTCAGCATAGTCTCGATTTCTCCTCTCTAGTGCTTGTATATGTTGGTTCGATTGCTTGAGTTTCCCTTGCAAGTTAGCAATCTCTGCCTTCAAGGTTGTGACTAAAGCAGTCAATGAGACACACTCTTGGTTCCTCGCTAGCAGATGCAATCCTACATTTGCTGCCGAAGCAACACAATGAGCACTAAAATAATAAAAAAAAATAGTTTCGCTGACGTTAACAAACGGCTATCTCACTAACCCACAGTAAAACGCCGCGTGTCACAAAGCAAGAATATAAAAAGTAGCCAAAGTATCATTATTATGAACTCATCCACATTATGTCGCGTGTCGTACTCTCATTAATTTGCAGAAAAAAAGAAGAAAAAATTGCAAAAAAAGACGTTACACTCATTCTCTCACCGTAGTCAACCAACCCCACCTTCTAGTTTGACCCTTGCCCAACCAGTAAAAAATCCAAGAACCTCTCGCTGCTGCGATCGATCACTCACGAACAATGGGGTCGTTTCTGGGTTTTGTTGCTGTTTTTTCTCTGTTTCAGGCAAGAAACCTTTTCCGCTCTTTGATTATTTTGTTTTGGTTTTTATGAGAACAATATTGGGCTGGTCTGTAATGATTGCTGAAGCTATAGATAGCCTCATGGGTAGTTCAGAAATGTTGTTTGTTGGGTCCTTTTACTCATTTACTTTCTGCAATTCTTTTGTTTTGTTTAGATGTATGGTTAATTTGTTCTTCTATGCAAAAGAAACTTTATAAAATCTGTTGGTTTGTAATTTGTAGAGAAACTGGAGACCCAATTGGATTATTTATGGAACTATATGAGTGATTATTGAACATGGAGCTTTTGTAGTACTTCTTTGATGTTGTGTATTCAGTTTTTTTTCCCAATGATGTTGATAAAGTAAAGTGCTTGCTATAACTGGTTAGCTTTTTCTGTTCTTTTGTTTTTTTTTTTTTTTGGGCTTTTGAATTGTTGCTGTAGGTTATCATCTTTGCCTCTTTGACTAGTGCCGAGAAGACGGATTCGCGGGCTCTTTTGATTTCTGACGTTACATCTGGGTAAGGCTATTTTGCTCTGAGGCTAGACTTGTATAAACTGACTGGTTTTCTCCATTTTTTTTTTCTTCTACTTCTAATTTTTGTTAGCTTGTGGACCTTTCATTAAGGTGATGTACAAATGAATTTATGTTCTGCTGTGCTAGTTGTTACATAGATGTTCATATTGAGTTACTCACTTAATGGTTCTTTTTATAACTGCAATGGTGATGATCGAGCAGTGGCCCATTGCGGTCTTTACGGAACTGAATCCTTACCCTGCAATGACGCTGCTTTATTTATCTTTTGTTTATCATTCTTGCTTGCTGATGTTACCCTATAATGACGCTGCATCATAAATGGCGTGAAGCTGCAACTGCTTAATTTGCTTCCATCCTGTCTTCTGTACAAGGATTAACATAGTTCTGGTCTTCTGGTTAGGAAAATGCACTCTGAAGAATACTGTGCAATGTATGATATCTGTGGAGAGCGCAGCGATGGGAAAGTCCTGAATTGCCCTTATGGTTCTCCCTCTGTGAAGGTACATCACTTCTGGCTAGTTGCAGTGACATGAAGACCTATTTTAATTTTAATTTTATATTATCCCCTTCAATGCTGCATTTTGATGGGTTCTGTAATATTACATGTTTTGTAGCCTGATGAGCTATTTTCTGCCAAAATCCAAAGTTTGTGTCCAACAATAAGCGGGAATGTTTGTTGCACGGAGCTTCAGTTTGAAACATTGCGGGCACAGGTTCAACAAGTAAGACTGCTTCTACCACCTATTTATACTAAATTCAGTTATTAAGGTCGCTTCTATCACATTTTATATGGACTTAGTTATTATACAATACTCAGCTAATGTATCTTAATAATCATTGTACCACTTTATAAGTCTCTTGATTTTATAATGGGGAGTGGAACTTGTTTGTTAAGCAATCACTTTTCTTTGTTCTTTTTAAAATTACACTTATCTCAAGATAAAAGAGGATGTTATTTATTGAAGTTAAAATTCATTGACTTTGCGTCAAATATTGTGTAACTTTGCCCCTTTCCATAAACTTTGTCAAAAAAATCCGTTAAGTTTGCTGATATTGCATGAGTGGGACCATATCTTGTGTTGTTAATATGTGGGACTTACTAATTGTCAATGGTTTGTTAGTATCTAGAACCATCATTGCACTTATGTAGTTTACTGCTTTCGGTTTTCAAATTACCACAGCACTTACTGTATAGTCTTGGGTTTATAAAGATCGTCAGGTTGTTCCTCTATTTATTTCTTGTGGACACTGAGTTTCCTGAATACATGATGGCTTTGATTAATGCTATGCCGTGGTTTATAGTGTTTGATTTGTTTAATTTTACCTAATACTAACACTTTGCTTAGTTATCAGGATATGAACCTTGTTCAGATCAGAGCACAGAACCTGTTCTGTTTGTGTTGTTTATGTGATTTTTTTTCTTCATTTGTTGTGGATATTTGTGTGACTAAATTGCTTCAATGGTTCCATTTGTGTATACAATGTAATGCAATAGTTAGCGTGAGCCTTTCCAGTAAGTAGCACATTTTTTGGTTTTGTTTCATATTGGCCTTTTTGTATACATCAGTCTAAGAACTCCAAGCTTTGCCTTTTGTTATACCTCAACTTTGTTGTATGTAATCTATTGCAGGCAATTCCGTTCCTGGTAGGGTGTCCGGCATGCTTGAGGAACTTCCTAAATCTTTTTTGCGAGCTTTCTTGCTCTCCAAGTCAGAGTCAGTTTATCAATGTGACCTCTGTGTCCGAGGTCAGACTTGATGTTAATGTTATTAAACTTGTTGAATAATCCTATTTATAGCCTGGTTATGGTACTTTTTTGGCATTTTGATTTTTTTTTTTTGCTGGTAACACTTTTGTGCTTATAAACATGTTTTAGTGCCTATGAACTCATATATTCCGTTTCAAAGTTGACTATAAGGTTTTCTTGGCATAAATACTGCCTTATGCTCCTTAAATGGTTTTGTTGCTCTCCGTTTCTACCTTTTTCTGTAGGACAACATCGATTGAACTAAAACATCAGTTAATGAATGTCAGTTTGTATAGTCAATTGTTTATTCCATGCAACTTGACGGGTAAACAAAGTGTTTTTCATGTTTTTGCCATAAGATATTGACCCTTGCATCTTAATGCTATTATACTGTTGGTTAGTAAAAGATTGCAATCTTTAATCAGTAAGTCTATCTAAGAACCATGAATTTAATGAAAGCTCCTATCATATATCTTTTTAGTCCCACTTTTTATTATTATTATTTTTTAAATAATGATTGACCTTTTTTTGTCTTTCAGGTTAATGGCAATATGACTGTGGATGCCATTGATTTTTACATAGCTGACACTTTTGGAGAAGGGCTGTACAACTCTTGCAAGGATGTTAAGTTTGGGACTATGAACACACGGGCAATAGAATTTATTGGGGCTGGTGCTAAAAACTTTGAAGGTGACCTACTATAACTCTGGGGGGTTTAAAACTTGCAGTAGACACAGTCTATTGTTAGGTCACTTTATATTGCAATTAATATCTTGTTTTCAATGTTGTGTCCATCGAGTTTGACTGTCTGAGACTTCTAGGTGTTTCCTTCCATTGAAGCGTAAAGTGGGATTGTATATAATGACAAAAGTGTCCTTGAGTTTTAAATGATTTACTAAAATTATCTATTATAGTTGGGGTATAATTGAATTTTCGTAAACAATGGTTGACAAGGAGAGTTTTCTGAAGTATAGTATTGATTAAGGACACTACTTCCCTCCTTCCCCGGAAGGAGGCATTCCTACTTCCTGCAAATCACAGTTTGACACATATGCAAAAATAATTCATGAAAACCACAAAAAGAAAAATCTCTACACACATGTCAAACTGTGATTTACAGGAAATAGGAGTTCCTACTTCCAGGGAAGGAGGCAAGTATTTTCAATTGATTAATGTGAAGTTAAGGGTCATACCAACTATACACAGGCTTGTCATGGCCCTGAGGCAGGTAGTTCAGATGTGACACTAGAATGTTTGTCCCTGTTTTTACTTGATTATACTTCGAAGTTGTAATGGTTCAATTTGCATTTCAACAGAATGGTTTGATTTTATTGGTGAGAAAGCAGCCCTCGGTTTCCCTGGTTCACCTTATGCCATTGACTTTAAGTTGACTGTTCCGGAGTCATCTAGAATGGAGCTCATGAATGTGTCCGTTTATTCATGTGCTGACACTTCACTGGGCTGCTCTTGTGGTGATTGCCCTTCATCCCAAGAGTGTTCTAATCCCGAACCTCCTCCACAGAAGAAAGATCCATGCTCCATCAGAATTCTATCCATTGAGGTTGGAGTTGATCCAATACACAGTGTATTTTAATTTTGTCTAACTAACTAATTTGTTGCTTTATTTGTGTGTCAATTTAGCCTTCCGGTACATTCAAATAACTTGAGTACTGACCATTGATGCTTCCAGGTAAAGTGCATTGACTTTTCTGTTGCCATATTGTATATTCTCTTAATTTCTGCTTTCTTCGGTTGGGGCTTGTTTCACCGGACAAGTGAAAGGAGGAGAGTTGAATCTAGCAAGGAACCATTGTTGAATGTCATTCACGATGATGGCATTGACTCTGTTAACTTGCAAAAGGATGAAAGTGTTCTCACAAAGGTAAACTTGGACTTTTCTTTGAGAGACCCAATTTATTAAAGAAAGAAATCTGTTCAAACAGTGGAACAGAAGTCTACCAACCCTGGATTAAGCTACCAAAACAAAAAAACAAAAAAACAAAAAAAATCAAAAAACAAAAACTGGATTAAGCTACCAAAACAAAAAAACAAAAAAACAAAAAAACAAAAAAAATCAAAAAACAAAAAGCACAAAGAAAACCACAATGTCCTATCCAATATTTTACAAACATCTGCATTTAATTATAACCAAATATCAGGAAAAGAAAGATACTCTGACCTATTAGATATGGTCCGACATGATGTTTGTTTTACTTTTGGTATTATTATTATGTCATGGATTACCTTTAACAATAAACAAATGCTCCTTGGCTTTAGATTTTATTTCTCTGTTCTTTATCCATTGTTAGTTTCATCAATCAGTTGCTATAGTGAAGTTTGTGCTGACATTTGAGTCTGGGCGTCTTTCTCCCATACTATATTTGTCTCTTAGATACCTAGAATGTTTTCCGCTTCCTTTTTTCGCTTTAATTTACTATAAATTAAATCTCTAAAGCCTGTATCTTTAGTTGGTTTCTCCCGATGGACTTCTTGTCCATCATGTTCTGTACTTCTATGTCTTTATGTTAATAAACGTATTGTTTCTTACATAAAACATCTCTACAATGTGGTTTTATATTTGATATTTGTGTGTTTCATGTCAAAATCGAAGCTGTGCATTGAGAGTATTACTGTGGAATAATAGGCTTCTGTCTACTGGTCCACACTTAAGACCATGTTAAAAGTTAAGGAAAGCACATTCAACTAAATTCTAATTGTTTATCCAAATTTTTTGAAATTGATAGTATAAATTAAACAACATAAATCTTCTTGTCCAATTTCTAACAGATCAAGGACCAGTGTTTTTTTTTTTTGAGGACAAGTGCTTGAGTATTTGTCGTAGGTCTCAGCTTTTGTCATGTCTCGCATATTTGATAACCTTGGGCACAAAAAAGGAGCCCAAGGAGTCGTGCATTTCTTATGGTTTAGGAGCTTTTTTTGTAAGCATGCATTACAATAACTATTTCTATATTGATATTGAAATGCAGTAAATTGTTATTTTAGGTTGCTGAGAAGCTGAGTAGTAATACCATTTAATTGGCTTTGTGCAATGTACTTTTTGGATGCATATTTTGAAGTCTCAACTTAATCTTCTATTCAGTTTGTTGTAATGCTTTTCTAGTTCTTTTAAGCCATTGGCCTTTTCTAATTATAATTTTTATAACATTATCAGGGGCCTGAGATAGATCCTCAAGTTACAAAAAGGATCCAATTAGCTCCTGTTCAGGGATATATGTCAAACTTTTACAGGTCAGAAACTCTACCATTGCTTATGGCATATGGAGTCTATGCTGAATAATTTTCATTGTCTATGCAGGAGTTATGGAAGCTGGGTCTCCAGAAATCCCACTTTTGTGCTCTTTTCATCGGTGGCAATTGTTCTTGTGCTGTGTGTAGGCCTAGTTCGTTTCAAGGTGGAGACACGGCCAGAGAAGGTATTATGTTTTTCTCTCTTTTTTATTTTATCATGCAAAAAAGGCCCCTGTGATACTGATGCTCCAATTTTCACCTATATTCTTTTGTTGTCAATTTGTATTATAACCTTTGATGTAATTAGTATTCTTTCAGTGTTCTTATATCCAAAAAGAAAGAATGTTGGTCAAGCATTGATATGTAACCTTTTGCAGCTGTGGGTAGGTCGTGGGAGCAAGGCAGCGGAAGAGAAACAATTTTTTGATAGCCATCTTGCGCCCTTTTACAGAATTGAGCAGGTCTTAGAACTGTTTTAATGTTTCACTTTGTATTTCATTAACTGTGTTATTTGTCTGTAATAACTTCTCATATCTTTTCATCCATTTTTTTTCTTTCCAGAAATTAGAGTGGAAAAACCTGACCTAGCACTCCATGCTATTTTTTATATATTACAAGTTAATGAATCATAGAGCATATAAAGTTGCTAAAGAACCTAGAATATAATTGAATATTAAGTACCCCAAATCAATGATGTTGCTGTTAATATAACAAGTTTTAAATATTGAGCCTCATTGTGAAATTGAATATTTTGTTATCAATTTTGTGACTTATTTGATTTTTCCCATCAAGTAAGAAATCCCTTTAGTTAAAAGTCCTAATTAGATAAACCAAAGTGTATTTAATCAGATTTCTTTTGGTAAGTCATTAGAAGTTTTTTTTTATAATTAGGGGAGAGATTTCTAGTGGTTTTGAGTGGGATGCCAAACCTGCAATTCGAGGATCTAGTCGCAGCCCTTGGAGAGAGATTTCTAGTGGTTTTGAGTTGTTCCTTCAACAGTGGAAAAACCTGACCTAGCACTCCATGCTATTTTTTTTATATTACAAGTTAATGAATCATAGAGCATATAAAGTTGCTAAAGAACATAGAATATAATTGAATATTAAGTACCCCAAATCAATGATGTTGCTGTTAATATAACAAGTTTTAAATATTGAGCCTCATTGTGAAATTGAATATTTTGTTATCAATTTTGTGACTTATTTGATTTTTCCCATCAAGTAAGAAATCCCTTTAGTTAAAAGTCCTAATTAGATAAACCAAAGTGTATTTAATCAGATTTCTTTTGGTAAGTCATTAGAAGTTTTTTTTATAATATAACTAAAAGTATATGACAAAAACAAAATAAATACCATTGAAAAGATTGTAACATTTTCTAAAGCAAAAAAAAAAAAAAAAAAAAGTTGAAGTGGAGGATACTGAATCAGAATAACTAGAAACCAAGAGTTACAATGCCATGATTCTGGTATGGGCTGCATGTGGTTTAGACCAGGTAAAAACGTTATGCTTTAGATGTTGGTCTTTGTTTTCAGCTCATAATAGCGACCATGCCCGATCCAAAGCATGGCAAGTCACCAAGTATTGTCACAGATGATAATATTCAGTTGCTTTTTGACATACAGAACAAGGTGACTACTATGTGTTACTATGTGTTTTTAATTTTGTATTTTTTCCCCATTTTAATGTGATTTTGACAATTACTGAGTTTCAACAGGTTGACGGAGTTCGTGCTAATTATTCTGGCTCAATGGTAGCTCTAACTGAAATTTGCTTGAAGCCTGTTGGGCAAGATTGTGCCACCCAAAGCATTTTGCAGGTTTTATTGCATAAGTTTTGTTTCTACTGTTTCACATGTTTGGTTGTGTCATCTATTTAAACACAACTGGCACAATAGCACTGAGGGAAGGTCTGCACTTGGCAAGACCCAGTGACTACACCTTGCTTACTCGTGCTATTATTGTGATTTTGGAATTAATGTTTAAATCCCCTAATGATTAAGCAACTTTGTCTGAAGTTATCATGCTTACTACATCACTAACTTTTTATTTCCTTACTTTTCTCTGTTTGGTAGTATTTTAGGATGGACCCTGAAAATTATGACAGCTATGGAGGAGTTGTACATGCCGAGTATTGTTTTCAGGTAAACTGCAGTAACAACCTAGTTTTTACCTTTTAGACAGTGATTGAAGGTTTTTATTTATCAACTTCTTAAAGGATAACTGTCTGCTTATTTTTAACCCATCAAAAGCTTATTCTAAAAGCATTAGTGTTGAATACTCTGATGTACATCCCCATCATTTTCCCACCTGCAGCATTATACTTCTGCAGACACATGTTTGAGCGCATTTCAGGCTCCACTTGATCCAAGCACTGCCTTGGGAGGATTCTCAGGAAACAACTATACAGAGGTAGCTTAATGATCCTTTTCTCAGATATATGTGTATCCACTAATTCTATGATGATCTTCGAATTTCAGGCTTCTGCATTCATTGTCACCTACCCAGTTAATAATGCAGTTGATGATGTAGGAAATGAGAATGCGAAGGCATTGGCTTGGGAGAAGGCTTTTATTCAGTTAGCAAAGGTTTGAGCACTAAACATCTATCTGTTGCATTGTTTTTGTTAGTGACATGTAATGCTTGTCTATGAGCATTTTAGATTGTAGGCATAAAGAGCATCTAAATAATTGTTGCATTTATTTGATTGATCTCCCAGTGTATCTTACTTCATCTCATACCATCATATGGTTGCTGCATCTTAAGTTTCTTGTTAGTAAGGTTTTGCTTTAATGAAATTTTTTCCTTCCATGTACTGATTGAGAACTTATAAATCCTATTATAAACTGTGCAACTTTTGTAGATTGGTCCAATTTCTTCATTTGGATTTCTTTTTTGGTTAAGAACTGGAAAGTTGAGGTTTATCTGCATTTGATTACTGTGTTTACTGCGTCTCCTTTCCCATTTAACATACTTTCACGTCTTACCATTCATTTAGTGTTCTCATTTTCACTGTTTTGCAAAATTCATGCTTCTTTGTATTGCATGTCTGGTGATATTTTATTGGTAAGAGGAGACCCTATCAAAGCTATATATCATGCCATCTTACACTCATGAACAAAATAAATAAAATATTTATACTTGTTGCTAAACATTGTACTTAAATAAGGGCCTTTCATAATTATTCTTCTTTTCCTACATCATATCAGGTAAGCTATGTGGTAATGTTCGTTTACATATCTCTAACCTTGGGAGATGCACCTCATTTATCTTCTTTTTACCTCTCATCGAAGGTATGATTTAAGCCTTTGTTCAAGTAGTCTGATATTCCTCATACCATTTGCCAGCATGCATATATATATGCATGTTGTATGCACTAACGTGTTATCCTCTACTGCTTGCTCATCTAGTAAAGTTACTTTAACTATTACTATATAATACTACTTCAGCTGCCAACCATTTATCAATTGACTCTGGTAACCCCAATGTTTTATCATGATTTGCTGCATTATAGTATGTGGATGATATGGCGTCAACAGTTGTCTCTGTTGAACAATTTGTTTCCTATCAAAATAAAATGAAATAAAAAGTTGTCTCTGTTAAACATTTGCTAGTCATTGAGTGGTAGCAAGGGTACAGACGACTAGTATTCGAGAAACGAAGATTAACTTGTGAAGGCTTGTGTGTGATCAAGTTGGAGGGTTTTGGTGTCTTTTATTGATGCATCACATATCTTAGCAACTAGAAACTAATCAAAGAAGTATCACAAGAACACCATGTATTTGCCATGTTACTTCATGTCCATGTGGCATACATAGCATTGATGAAGTTTTCAGATGTGCTATTAATTTTTGGATTTGATGATTTGTAGGTCCTGCTTGGCTTGTCAGGAGTCATGCTTGTTGTGCTTTCTGTCCTTGGATCTGTTGGATTTTTCAGTGCTGTTGGAATTAAATCTACATTAATCATAATGGAAGTCATTCCTTTCCTCGTTCTGGCCGTAAGTTATTTATATAAGTACTATGGGTGTCAGAGTTACTTACGTCCTGTTATTGCAGCTGTGTTCTTTATTGATCTTAGGCCCTGTTCATCTAGGAGATACATGCTGAGTCCTGGTACTTTGCTGTTGTTAATACTCATCAGTAAATTAATAAAAACACATTTACTTTTCCACCCTTGAATATTTATAGAACGTTGTTTATCCCTTGTTGTAACTACCACCACTTTAGAATCATAAATCTGGATTCAAGCATGCACTGGAGGAACTGAAAAGGAAGAGAAAAAAGAAACACAGCAGAGTCATACCACTCTCTTTTGGCCTTGTACATTTGGAGTGTAATTTAGGTCTTCTATTTTCTAGGTGGCTTGAGATAACTTCTTCATTAGTTTGTCTTCATACAGGATTATTTTTTATTATTCATTTTTCGTTCTTCAAGCTTTCCATTTGTTGCCCTAAACTTAGATAAAATTTTATCTGTTTATTTGTTATTTACAGTACCTAATAGTTTCCTCCACCTCCAAACCCTCCCTTCCTCATGTTCAATCGCAACCTTCTCTTTCAAAAGGGGAAGAGATCTTTGGTTGAACCCCAGGTCCTTTTCTCTCTTGTGTACTTTTCTTTGTCTGATATGATATTTCAAATGGTTCTTGTTTTGGTTCCTATAATCAGGTTGGTGTAGATAACATGTGTATACTGGTACATGCTGTGAAACGGCAACCACTGGAGCTACCTTTAGAAATGCGAATAAGCAATGCGCTGGCTGAAGTTGGCCCATCCATAACATTGGCTAGTTTGTCTGAGATTCTGGCATTTGCAGTTGGAAGTTTCATTCCTATGCCAGCTTGCCGTGTCTTCTCCATGTTTGCAGGTAATTTTTTTTTCCTTTATCCTGAATCAGTTACTTTGGAATTTTGCTTTCACCAGTACATTGATGTATATCCACTATTTCTATTACAGCCCTTGCTGTTCTACTGGACTTCTTTCTGCAAGTTACTGCCTTCGTTGTGCTGATATATTTTGACTTTTTGAGAGCTGAGGATAACAGGGTTGATTGTTTTCCATGCATAAAAGTCTCTTCATCTACTGTGGAAACTAGTGAAGGTATATATATAGGCATGCTGACATATTGTATCTGTGTTGAAGTTGCACTGCCTTTCTAGTACAGCGTTGATTTGTCTATTTTAATCATGTTAGATCTACATTTTCCTCTCCTTCAAATTGGTGTTAGTTCTGATCAAGTCATTATATAATAAGATGTAGGGATCTATCATAGAAGAGCTGGATTGCTGACCCGCTATATGAAGGTAACTTTTTTGTCTTTTCTTTTCTTTCATTCTGCTCTGTTTGACGGAGATATCTGGCTACTAGACATCTTCATCTTAAAGGGGCCATGGTTTATGTTGTGCATCATGTAAAAATAATTATTTTGCCCTGTCTTGGCGATTTTGAGAATGGTTGATATTTCTTGGAGAGAAGTAAACTAATGATTGTGTATATTCTTGTTCCTTTTCTTTTGAAAAGAATGATCGTGGCTTTATTGTAGGAAGTGCATGCACGCATTCTTGGATATTGGGTGGTTAAAATGGTTGTTATTGCTGTCTTTCTTGCTTTTACCTTGGCAAGCATTGTAAGTTGCTTATGGTTTTTTGTCACTCAATGATTTTTAAATAGTAGTTTATTTAGTTTTATTGTCTTGAGGCCTAACACAAAGTTTTTACATGACTTTGATCCTTATAGGCATTATGTACTAGGATTGAACCTGGTTTGGAACAGAAGATTGCCCTTCCCCGTGACTCTTACCTTCAGGTCTCCGGTAGTTTTATGGAATCTTCTTACCCTAAAAACTTGACTTTTTCTTCTTTTATAATGTAAGTCTTGCGTGTCAGGGATACTTCAATAATGTCTCAGAGCATCTTAGGATTGGACCACCATTATATTTTGTTGTCAAGGATTACAACTACAGGTACCTGTGTGGTCTCCGTTCTATTTTGATCTCAAATTTTCAGGTTCTGTATTCTTCCGGTATATTTTCAAGCTTGAGGATTATTAAAGACAGTGCACAAAATAAGATATAAAAAGGAAATAGAATAATGCAGTTATGAAAGGAAAATGGTGGGGGTTTTAATAGTGTGCCTCAGAAAAATATGAGCTTTTGTTGTTTTCTTCCATTATCTGTTAGGTGATAAAATAACTTTATTAGGTAAGCACCTCTTTGACGGCTTTAATCCATTCTTAGAATGGACTTATCACATAACTAAGATGAGTACTTTGCAAGGGAGTTCCTTTTATTTATTTATTTCCTCTATCACTAGGAGATGGAGCTGTTGGAAGACATTGCTTTATAATTGGAATTTTGGGTTGTCTCATGAATAAGAATAAAGAAACAAATGATCATTAAAAGATCTATAGTTGTCACATTAAATAAAATATTTTAAAATTGTTCTGATGGTACTGTTGATGACTAGGGCAATGGAAACATTTGCTTTTGTTGGGTTACTTTTTTATAGTGATGATGGGACTGATGCCACTGCCTCTTATACAATGATGATGGGGGCATAGTAGATAATTGTTTGCCAACTTGGCATAGATACTGAGAAGAATTTATTACGATGCCTGCTATTATTTGTCTTTTTATGGCTGCTGTATATCAATACGTCTCTTTAACATAAGCCCCTGTTCTATGTCAAAGCATTTGCTTCATTATGATATACAAGTAATAACTGAGAAGAAATTCCTTTCATACGATGATTAACAGTTGAGTGTTTTTTTGGTTGTCTCAGCTCTGAATCAAGACATACAGACCAGTTATGCTCCATCAGCCAATGTGATTCAAACTCTCTTTTAAATGAGGTACAAAAATGTGGAGGGGATTCAATTCTAAATTGGAAGTGAAGTAGGACCTTCTACCATGAATACACATTGTATCAATATGAACTAAAAATGGGCACTTCTAATGCATATTTATCTCCAATTTTGAATTGCTCACATTGTAATTTTGTGGTTTCTGTATCTCCCTCCCAAGTCTGGATGCTGTACAATTTTGTGTGTTGTCCTCTAATTCCTTCTTCCTTGTGTTTATTGTTTAGCTTGTATTTGACCGCTCTGTCCTTTTATCTATTTTGATTTGGGCTCCAAACTGTGACAATTGTGAAGCATTTTCTCTGTGTATATGCATATACTTTTTTCTCCCTCTTCTTCAATGTCTTATTCTGTAATTTTGCAGATATCAAGAGCATCTTTAACACCAGAATCGAGCTACATTGCTAAGCCAGCTGCCTCTTGGCTTGATGATTTTCTGGTATGGATTTCACCTGAGGCTTTTGGTTGCTGCCGGAAGTATTTAAATGGTTCTTATTGTCCACCTGATGATCAGGTTGGTTTCTTTTACATGTCTCATTTGAAAAGTAATTTAAGAATATGTCGCTTTCATCCCCGGGACTTGAACTGCTTCTTACTATCATATAGAATTTTTTTTCTTACATGATTAAAGAATTACACATGCAGGTCCATGCTTGCATTACACACATACAAAAGACGTATATATAGATTATGTTGCAAATCTGTGTTTTTGGATCTTTCTTTCTTTTTTGTTCAGCGACATTTTTCGTTTGGTGACTCAGTTGTGTATGCCAAATTGTGGTTCATTTGTAAGCTTATAACTTTCATGATTGCATTATTATACGATCTGTGATATATTTTTACCATATCCAATGACCAGTAAAGAATAAGAATTCAACTTATGTGTTGTTCTCATGCTGTTTGTTAAATTACGATATACTGAAGCTGACACATTTCTCTCCAGCCACCTTGCTGTTCACCTGATGATGGTCCTTGTGGCGTTGGTGGAGTGTGCAAAGATTGTACAACAGTAATGCCCATCTTATGTATACAGCTGAGATTAACATTAGAAACCACCAGGGTCAAGAACTAACATTTTAAATTGGTTCCAGTGCTTTCGGCACTCAGATTTGGTCAATGATCGTCCATCTACAACACAATTTAGAGAGAAGCTTCCATGGTTCCTCCATGCACTGCCATCTGCTGATTGTGCAAAAGGTGGCCATGGTGCTTACACTAATAGTGTGGATCTAAATGGTGTGTAAGATCAGAACTATCTCTCTCTCTCTCTCTCTCTCTCTCTGTATAAAAAAATCTATGTCTGTGTGTGAGATAGATAGAGAAAGAGAATTATGCTCTTAAACTCTCATGTGATGTGATTAAAACGTTCATGAAGCTGAAATCTTTTAATTGAATTAATAGTCTAATTTCAGAAACATTTGTGTTTTCTTTTTCAGGTTATGGGAGTGGTGTTATAAGAGCATCTGAGTTCCGTACCTATCACACACCACTTAACAAACAAGTATGGTTGTATCTTGAGTAAACTGATGCTAAAATTTGTCTTTAATTTGCATAACTTTAACTCGACAACCCGCTTTTGTTTGATCTTTCATTGTTCTCAGGGTGATTATGTCAATTCACTGCGAGCTGCACGGGAGTTTAGCTCAAGAATTTCCGATTCTTTAAAGGTTAAAGTTCAGCAAGCAGCATGGTTCCATATAATTTGGAAATTTTGCTTGCACATACTTGGAATTGGATGCTTTGCTTTCCAGTTTGATTTTTGTTTTAAATCATTTTGGTACGAGGGGTGTTTTCTACCTAATGCCAAACTGTAGGACAGACTAGTGAAAGTGCATTCATTTTACATTGATAGAAACATATCTGGTCATAGTGGAACTGAAATAAGCTACTTCTGTATGCGAGAGAGTGATGATGTTGGATGTCAATAGAGTTCTCATTCTCAAAACCTGTCATGTACAAGTTATGCCCGGAGGTCCATATTTCTAATATGTTATTAGTTTAGCTCAAGAATTTCTGATTCTTTAAAGGTTAAAGTTCAGCAAGCAGCATGGTTCCATATAATTTGGAAATTTTGCTTGCACATACTTGGAATCGGATGCTTTGCTTTCCAGTTTGATTTTTGTTTTAAATCATTTTGGTACGAGGGGTGTTTTCTACCTAATGCCAAACTGTAGGACAGGCTAGTGAAAGTGCATGCATTTTACATTGATAGAAAGATATCTGGTCATAGTGGAACTGAAATAAGCTACTTCTGTGTGCGAGAGAGTGATGATGTTGGATGTCAATAGAGTTCTCATTCTCAAAACCTGTCATGTACAAGTTATGCCCGGAGGTCCATATTTCTAATATGTTATTTGGTTACTGCATCAAGAACACATCTTTCTATGTAGGAAATGACATTACATGTTTATAGACCAGGTGACTAATACATTCTTAATAATGCTGTTAGTATCTTTTTGGGCTGAAATAATGCTGCGCGTTAGTTACATTAAAGTTTCATTTATTGAAACCTTCTCTATGAGAGTGGTGGTATCAATTTCTTGTTGATTGTGTTCAGAGTCTTCTTACTTGAGTATCACTTACTAAGAATTTATATTCTACTGGCATTTCCTCCACGTGTGTTAACAATGTTGGTAACAATGTTGATTTGCATTAGCCTCGTCGAATTATTAGTATGCTTGTTTTCCCATGTGCTTTGAAAACAGGGGAGAGGAGATAAAGTGAGGCCTTCTCCTGACAATTTATCCTTTCCTGCATCTTCAACATTTCTAAACCTGTACATTACTTCCTCAAGTGCATGTGGATCTCTGTTATGCTTACAGTGTTTCTTTGATGCAGATGGATATCTTTCCATACTCGGTGTTCTATATCTTCTTTGAGCAGTATCTGGATATATGGAGGACAGCTTTGATCAACATTGCTATAGCACTTGGTTAGTATCTAGAACATTATATCGATATGCAGTTATGCATGGGGGCATACAGATCTACTTGTAGTCTATATTTTTATTTTGTAATATGTTGTTGCCCCTGATTATTTGTGCTTGTGTGTTCTTCAATAATATATTTAAACTGATGGAAATTAGATATTTTAGTGCTTGAAAGAGATGTTTAACAGTTCTACAAGTAACACTCAGAATCTTTGTCTGCCCATTATATGAGTTCTTAGTATTTGGGACTAAAGAACTGGTATTTTGTTGTACTTTGATCTGTAGAGATTTCACTATTCCATCTAGATCTTTAATTTAAATGTTTTCCCCCTAGTGGGTAATACCTTTGGCACTCCTTAGTCATTATTTGGCTTCCTGCACTCCAAAATGAACGTTTTATAAATTCCTTCTCCCATGAAGTGCAAGCAGCTACAATGGAATGTCAACAGTGCTGACCTTCCTAATTTAAATTATTGTTTCAGTTTTGAACTTTAAGGACTGAATGTACATTTTCAGCTCTATAAGCATTTACCAAAATATCTCATATGATGATATAACAGGTGCAATCTTCATTGTCTGTCTGCTTATCACTTCCAGGTTTCTATTCTTTCTTGAGCCCAGCAAACTGTCTCTGTCACTTTAACTTGTAATTTTCTGTTTCTTTCTCATCTGATTTTAATAACAGTTTATGGAGCTCAGCAATCATTATATTAGTCCTGGCAATGATTGTTGTGGACCTCATGGTACGTTTACCTTGAATGTCATTAAAAGCTTCTTATTTTGCAGCAATCTTTTTGCAATTGTGTGCCCTTGTATTTATTTCACTTTCATGCGATCCTTAATTTAATTCCTTGAAATTCTCTCAGTTAGGAGAACTGACATACGTAACTGAACTTTCAGGGTGTAATGGCCATTTTGGATATCCAACTAAATGCAGTCTCTGTTGTAAATCTCATAATGTCAATCGGGATAGCTGTTGAGTTCTGTGTCCATATAACACATGCTTACTTGGTTAGTCTCAAGCCCTGTGGTGTCACGCTTATTTGCCTAATTCGTTTTTGGCTTGAAGATGAAGGAAATGCCCTACATAGCTGTAGGAATCTCTTTTATTAGAGCTGAATGGAATATCTCTTTTAAAAAAAAAAAAAAGAGCTGAATGGAATAACCTTTTCTTATTCTTTAGTTCCTGGGTTGACATAGAAACTTCCCACCTGCCATTGAGATCTCCTCTCAATGGCCAACAGCCTTTCATTGGGTTTGATAATTTGCTACCATATTACCAACCTATGCATGCTTGTGCAGGTGAGCCATGGCGACAGGAATCAACGAGCAAAGGAAGCTCTGAGTACAATGGGAGCTTCTGTCTTCAGGTAAACTGTTTACACTTTTGTTTAGCATTTCAGGTGTGATGACAACTGTGGCACTCGGTAGAACTCCATGATTGAGCTGAAATCTTTTTGTGTGAGAATTGTCTCAGACTAATATGAAATCTAAGAAGAAAAAGAGTTGCCTGATAGTATGCATTCAATGATCATTAAGCTTCTTAGATACTGTGATTAATTATAAAACAAGTATAATTTCTGTACAGATATACATATGTTTGATAAGGATTTATTTGTAAAGAAACATATGTATATCTGTACATTAAACATATGTTTTTATCAGAAAACATTAAGGATTTATTTCTTGGATGAGCCAAAAAAGTTGTGGAATTTGAACACTGAACGTGCCTGCTTTAGAATCATGTTAGAAGCTAATTTGTCCAAAAGCTTAAGTTGTTAGAGAAATATGATGTCTATTTGTAGGTTTCTTTGATATTTTTGTCTTTTAACTATCATCAGAATAACTTGAAATTAGGGCACTTCGTTCTCCATCACTTTCTATGGTTTCAGTGCCATACTGCTCTATTTATTTATAAGCATCCCTTGGAGTTCTTTACTCAGAGCAGTGCTTTTGTCCACAAACAATAAACTAACAAACCAGTATATAATTGCTTGACTTTTTATGGCAGTGGGATTACACTTACAAAGCTAGTTGGAGTGATTGTCCTTGGCTTCTCAAGATCAGAACTTTTTGTGGTTTTTGATCTCTCCCTCTTTGCGTTTTAAATTCTTTTGGCGATGCTGTAGATGTAAAGAAGCTTTCTGAACTTTGCAGGTTTACTATTTTCAAATGTACCTGGCATTGGTTGTTATTGGTTTCTTGCATGGGCTCGTATTTTTGCCGGTAAGTTTATTGGAGTTTCTTCCTGTCACAGCTACTACTCTGACACCCAAAGAAGATGGCTTTGCTAGCCACATATGCACTACTGGACCACCTTCTTTTGCTGGTTGAATGCTGCAAGTCACTTCAACAGTTTGTTTTTTTCGTTTTTCCCGTTAGTGTTGCGAATATTGTTGTCCTTATCACATGGTGCCACTGTATTTCCATAGGTTGGAGGTCAAAATCCACGATAAAATTGATTGAACCATGCTTGCCTTTTGCGGTTTGCAGGTGGTATTGAGCATATTTGGTCCACCTAATCAACATCTGAGTATCGATATTCACCAGGTTGAATCTTCTTCAGACTTGAGTTGATACTTGTGGAAGTGTGGCTCCACTTTTTTCAGGCCAATGTTCGACAGCGGTCTTCAAATTATATGTGCTTGTGCATACATTCCGAGGCCCCAACCTCCCCGTTTGCAGGTGGAAACCTTGATATGTTGTAACAATTTGAAAACGGCCATATAGAACGTATCACAACAGACTCTTGAAACTCTTGATCTTGTATAATTTTCATCCATTAGGGTTCTTTGGGTAATTTATGTATAAGAAAAGAGAGATGCTACATGGCCCACATTTATGTTTACGTATAATATACCTATGGCACCACCGCCACAATTTTAATTATTAAAATTAAGATTAAGGTGTTAAGAGCATCGTTTTAGTTAGTAAAAGTACAATACGAGTATTGTACGTGAATTTTACTAAGTTTTTAAGATGTATACAAAACACGGATGTATTATTAAAAAATACGTACATACGTCTATAAGGGTATTAAACGTGAAAGTGCTAAATTATTTATACCTGTAATAACTCTGGAAAAGCCAAAAATCAAAAGGGAACAATAGAGATTCGGGTAATGGCCTCATAGTAATGGATAATGCTTTTATTGACAAATGAAAATAGAAAAAAAGGATCCCATTATATATATATATAAACTTATTTGAGGGACACCCTTGTAGGGCTCACTCCATATTGTATTTCATTCAAAAATCATCTCTACAAAAAATCACTTGAATCCGATATCATTTTATCACTCAATTGAATTATTGAAATTTTAGTACTTTCTTTAAGTATCATGTTCATTGATTTTGTAGGACACAATTGGATGTCGAAACGATTTTCAATTTGTCTAATTTTTTGCAAGGACGATCTATGAATGTAGACTTAAAAAATAGATGGTTTGGATTGTTGAAGGGGACCTAAAGGGTGTCCTTATTTGAGGGATCCCTCAATAGAAGGGGCTATTTAGTATAGCCTATTTATTTAAAAAATTAAAACAAAAAACCCGGTACAGCCGCGCGGCTATACTATTTTGAGAGAAAAACCCGAGTATAGCCGCACGGCTATAATATTTATTTAAAAAAATTAAAGAAAACCCCAGTACGGCCGCGCGGCTATACTATTTTGATAAAAAAAAATTTTAAAAAAAACTATTTTTAGTAACATTAATAAACCAGTTTTTTTATAAAAAATATATAACCGAATATAGCCGATCAGCTATACTGTTTATTATTATTAAAAAAAAAGCAGACCCGCGTAGCTATTGGGTGGTCACGAGTCAAAATAAGTATAGCCGCACGGCTATACTATTTTTTAAACAAAAAACCATAAGACAACAGCGTGGCGATACTCTTTAAATTCATTATATAATTCTACAACATCGCAACGTTTCATAAACTCAATCTGATCCCCAATTTTCAGAATTTTCACACTCGGTATTGTTTCCGAATTTTTGGAACCTAGTTTCCAATTTTCGGAATTTGTAAATAGTATGTTTAATTTGACATAAAAAGTTTTTATTTTATTTTAGTATGAATACTGCGAACATTATTACAAGCTAAAATTATTAGTATATTGTTACAAATTCGGAATTTTCCAACTACAATCATTTTCAACATTTTCGGATCCGAATTTGAAATTTTTGGTTTATTTATTAACATATTTGTTAAATAAATATAAAAATATTATAGATGGGCCGGGCCTCATTTCTCTCTTTATTTTTATTTTTTGAAAGTTCGTTAGTTGAACTATGAGCTATTCATTCCTCTCCCGCCAAACCAAAAAACCAAAATTAAATGAGAACGAAGGTTTTGAGAGGACCGTTAACGCTTTCCATGGACCCAACAACCTCACTCACCAAAGCTTTGTTCAAAAACACCAACAATCCCAAACTAGCATGGCACCTCTTCAAGCGTATTCTCTCCTCACCCACCTCTACCTCCTCCTCAGATGTCTGCCTCCGCTCCCTACCCATCGTTACCCGCATCCTTATCGACTCGAAAATGCACCATGAAATCGATAGCCTTCGCCAGCTCCTTCTCGTCTCACAGCCCCGCGAAACCCTTCGCCCTTGCCTCGTTTCGCTTGTGCGGCTCTTGGCCAAGTCGAGCCTCTCCGATATGGCCGTTTCCCATTTTAAAGACCTCCGCAGCCGATTCCCTGATGAGCCCCCTTCTGTTTATTTGTATAATTTGCTTCTTGAGTCCTCTCTTAGGGAGAAGCATGTAGATTTCGTGTTGTGGTTGTATAAGGATATGATCGTCTCGGGGATGAAGCCTGAAACTTATACTTTTAATCTTTTGATTTGTTCCCTGTGTGAATCGGGTCGTTTGGATGACGCTCGGGAGGTGTTTGACAAAATGCGTGAGAAGGGTTGTCAACCGAATGAGTACAGTGTTGGGATTTTGGTTCGTGGGTATTGTAGAGCTGGGCTGTCTGGCAGAGGATTGGAGGTTTTGGATCAGATGAGGAGTTGTAATCTTTTGCCAAATAGGGTTGTGTATAATACTTTGATTTCTAGCTTCTGTAAACAAGGCAAGACTGATGATGCTGAGAAATTGGTAGAGAGGATGAGAGAGGATGGAATGTTTCCAGATGCTGTTACATTCAATTCTAGGATTTCGGCTCTCTGTAGTGCAGGAAAAATCCTTGAAGCTTCTAGAATATTTAGAGATATGCATATAGATCAAGAGATGGGACTGCCTCAACCTAATGTTGTAACGTATAATTTGATGTTACAAGGATTTTGCAGGGAAGATATGTTAGAAGAAGCAGAGACCTTGTTCAAATCTATGGAAAAGGCTGGCAATTTTATTAATTTAGAGAGTTATAACATATGGTTGTTGGGTTTGGTCAAGAATGGGAAGCTCTTAGAGGCACGACTGGTTCTTAAAGAGATGGTAGATAAGGGTATAGAACCCAATATTTACTCATATAACATTGTGATAAATGGGTTATGCAAAAACAGGATGCTCCGTGATGCCAGAATGGTGATGACTCTGATGGTAAGAAACAATATTTCCCCAGATACGGTGACCTACAGTACTTTACTCCATGGGTTCTGCAATAAAGGGAAGGTATTTGAAGCCAGCAATATTCTGCATGAGATGATGATGAATAATTGCTTCCCAAATACTCATACTTGCCACATTTTGCTGCATAGCCTGTGGAAAGAGGGAAGAACATCAGAAGCAGAGGAACTTCTGCAAAAGATGAATGAGAGAGGTTATGGCTTAGATACTGTGACCTGCAATATTGTGATTGATGGTCTATGCAACGATGGGAAATTGGACAAGGCAATTGAAATTGTGAGCGGGATGTGGACTCATGGAAGCGCAGCTCTTGGAAACCTAGGAAACTCCTTTATTGGCCTGGTTGACGATAGTAATAATGGGAAGAAATGCACCCCTGATTTGATCACGTATTCAACCATAATTAGTGGGTTATGCAAGGCTGGGAGGCTTGATGAAGCTAAGAAGATGTTCATGGAGATGATGGGGAAAAACTTGCACCCTGATTCAGTAATTTATGATATATTTATAAATAGTTTTTGTAAACAAGGAAGGATATCATCTGCTTTTCGGGTGTTGAAGGACATGGAGAAGAAAGGTTGCAACAAGAGCATTCAAACTTATAATTCACTAATACTGGGCTTAGGGAGTAAAAAGCAAATATTTGAAATATATGGACTCATGGATGAGATGAGAGAGAGAGGAGTCGCTCCTGATGTATGCACTTATAATTATATGATGAATTGTCTCTGTGAAGGAGAGAGAGTCAAAGATGCCACTTCTCTTTTAGATGAAATGCTGCAGAAGGGCATATCCCCTAATATTTCTACCTTCAGAATATTAATTAAAGCTTTCTGCAAGGCATGTGATTTTGGAGTTGCACATGAGGTCTTTGACATTGCTTTAAGTGTATGTGGCCACAAGGAAGCCTTATATAGTTTCATGTTCAATGAGTTGCTTGCTGGAGGGGAAATCTTGAAAGCTAAAGCGCTATTTGAAGTTGCATTGGACAGGTATTTTTATCTTGGGAATTTCCTCTACAAAGATCTCATTGACAGACTTTGCAAGGATGAAAAGTTAGAGGATGCCAGCAGCATTCTTCACACGATGAAGAATAAAGGATATGGGTTTGATCCAGCATCATTCCTGCCAGTAATTGATGGCTTGGGTAAAAGGGGAAATAAGCATGAGGCTGATGAACTTGCAGAGACAATGATGGAAATGGAGTCAGAAGGTAGGGTAGCAGATAAGATTTACCGAATCGAGAGGGAAATAATTGGTGGAAAACCAAGTAACAATGGCGGAAGTGATTGGCAGACCATAGTGCACAGGTATGGTGGATGAAAGGTTATACATTATTTGTTTCTTCTTAACTTCCCTTTTGGTTAATCACATTCTGACATTGTTTTGTGGTTATAACTGGACCATATTGGTTTCTGTACTTATTTACTTTTGAATTGATATTTTCACAAGTTGTATTTTTTTTATCTTCTCCCTCTCTCCACTTTGCAACTTATTTCTGTTTGCCCATAAAGAACCTCTCCAGTCTTAGAAACAAATACACAAAGAATGATGGTATATCTTATTCATACAATATACCAAACGTTACAAATAACCCAATAACTCTACTTTTTTCTGCCATAACCTTGAGTGAATATGCAATCATATTTCTTCTAAGGGGAGGGGCAAGGCATTTGATGAAGAGCCTCAAATAGTCATTTAATAAGCTTCATGGCTGAGTCAGGCCTGCCCATATTCGATTTCATTAGATTCTTTATCACACCCCTGTAGTCACAAATCCTGGCTCCACTTTAGTTACTGCATCTTTGATTTTCGAATGTTACCTTGAACTTGATGCTTGAAGCCCTTTAAGGTTTTGATTGGTGCAATCAAGCCCTTCTTAATTTTATTCTCAGCTTTGTAGTCTGTGATGATATTCCTAAACTGGTAACTCTTACCTTTGTTTTTTCACAGAGATGATGGCAGTGGAATTGCACTGAAAACCCTTAAGCGGGTACAGAAAGGCTGGGGTCGAGGGAGTCTAACGAGTTTTCAGTCCCAGAAAAACGAATTTATTGATTACTGAGATTCAATGGACAATTTCGTGGAGTAGGTTGGAGAGATAAGGGAACCCCAAAAATAAAGCCAAGAAAGAAATCAACCTTTATGATTCCAGGTATAATAGGTTTTTCTCATTTTGACTTGCCTCCTTTGAAATTTTTTTTATATATATTCTCATGAGTGGCAGGCAATGTGAAATCAATGAGAACCCAGCAGTAAGTCTTGCCAAAATCCCATGTAGGATTAGCAGCCAAGTTTGCTCACTTTTCATGCTTGCTCAGTGAATAAACGTAATTACTTTGTCTTATGTTAGAAATCTTACAGCACAATTAGACTGAAATCCCTCCAAGGCTATTGATTGCACTAACTAGAAATCAATGAGCTCTTCGTGTTAGGCTTTTGGTATGCAAGATCTCATGCAGCTCACTTCGTTTTAGGCTGTTGGTTTGACTTTCTTTTTCTAGAATTCTCTTTCACCCAAAAATGGTTTCTGTAACATAGTTTTGCGTTGTTGTTGAATAGCAATTACCAAACTAGGTGAATAATTATCTCCTGCTTGTGAAGATCCAACCTTTTGTGGTCTCTTTTTATACTTTCTGCTACCTGCTATACTAACTTAATTTCTAGCACTAAAGCTCAACCAATCTATCTTTTTCAGGTGTTTCATCCTTATGTGTGTCGAGTGAACTTGATTGGGCTTGGTATTCCTACCAATATGCTACTTTTGTTTGGGCATTATGCTTTAGTCTGAAATGGCATTGGTCGCATATAAATCATATTTTCCTACTCTGCGGTAATAATTTGACCAGACCGACTGGCGCCAAAGTTGAAGGAAGCTAGAACCCTAGTTGTTACCTCTAGAGGATGCATGCCACAAGATCTGCCATTCGTCATTCTCGGACATGGTTCCCCAAGTATTGCCTCCACTCAGTTGTGAGATCTCCATCTGCCCATTGAAAACCTCATATTGGCCTAGGCACTCTGCTCAATTGTTGTCTCCCTTGGTTCTTTCGTACTGGATTGTGTTTCTCATATTTGATATTTGCTTGCTTGGGTCCATTATGCCTGTATTCCTCTAGTTCTGTAAATAGATCCATATTTTACGCCAGGTATAACTTCTGTAAATAAAATTTCAAATTTGTGAAATTTATAAAACATATAGATATATTTTCTCTACAGTTGTCGTCTCATCGTACTTGTCACGTATAAACACACACACACACACACACACACACACACACACTCACATATATGAAAATATATACACAAATTTCACAAACATATTTCTTGATTCTCCTCTTTGACAATAATATGTGACTTATTTACTTCACCCTAAGCCTTTAAATACAACCTTAGATACTGAATAGCACCAAATAGGATGTTCATACAATGACAGTTTCACAGATGAAAACTGCCAGATATGTAATTTCATGATTTATACAGCCTAGGATGGCTAAGTGTTGTCCTAATAAATAAATAAATAATAACATAATTCAAATTATTTCACCTAGATTAACCATTTGATCTACAAAATAAGATGAAATTTCTTTTTATGCTGACATAAAACTGTGAACAGATTCCTAAGTTCTCAACCAACCATCAACATAATCCCTTTCTAACAACTCCACCAGATAACAACTGTATACTCTTTGATCCTAGACAACATGTGCCAAGTAGAAAACTGCAGTAGTGATGATAATGTTAGGATGGGCTGCTGTTGCCAAAAGAGGCTGCTAAATTTGGATGAAAAACTTGTTGAAGGCAGAGCCTGACTGTGCGGCCTGGAGATGAGCTGTATATCTCCATGCACTCTTCAAGATCAGCATCACAATTTAAAAGAACCCACTCACGATCATCGTCCAGGTACTTGATCTCGGTTCTACTGATATCATCTAAATTGAATCTTCTTGCAATCTCCAGTTGCAAATCTCTGAAACTACAGTTTGGTAGCATGCTGAACCTTATTTTTTTCATCCCTGAAAGTAGCTTTTACTCTGTAAACCATCCCGCAAGCTCCTGCCACTGCTTCCTGGTAAGGGAGGTAAGTTCTCATAACTCAGGTTGTCACTGAAGGATTTATGGCTTTCGGATCTATAGATAAGCTTTGTTTCCTCTTGAAATGAGGCATGTAAGTCTGCATCGCTGCAAGCTCTCTTTAGCACTCCAACAGGGTCTTCTGTCATTAAAGCATCTCCACTACTCAAGGTGTTGATAGTAACTGTATGCTGTTGTGCTCCAGCAACACAGACACTTGGACCAGAAGTCTGACTGCATGACGAGGATGGAGACTTTGTAGTGGTTCCATGGCTGTACAAGCCACTCTGATCATGTTGTAGAGGGTTTACTTGCTTGGAATGGTCGCTCATATTCATTGATGAATACTGACCAGACCCTGGAAACTTTGGAGAGTTCAACTCTGGGAAGCTCGAGTAGAAGGAACCGATGTGAATAGCACCCTCAGCACCCTGGACTGAGTCGATCACGAGCTGGAGTTTCTTGAGAGAGTGGCCTACCATTTTTATCTTTCGAGAAGGCCATCGGGTAATCCCATTCTGCCTGCATATCCTTTTCAGAGTAGTGGGGCAAACTGCATATGAAACAAAGTGTGTAAGAGATTATTGGTGAGCTAGCTATTCGCTAAAAATCTCTGGAGACGGTGACTAGAACCGCCAACGAAATTGATGGAGGGCAAAATCCATGTGCTAGCTTAGAACTTGATTGATATTTTAGCCAATAGTTTCCTAACTGAAGTCAAATGACTTGAGATAAACATATCTCTGACACTCTAACTCTACGGTAAAACAATCCAGCCCCTTCTTACATGGGGTATGCAGGGCTGCTACTTGAAATCAGGAACAGAAGAAGTCTAAATGTCAAGGAACTAAATAAGGTTATGCCTTCTTTTTCTTTTTCTTTTTTATCGGAAAATAAGGTTATGCCTAGACCCTGCATTTAGATGCAAGAAGGAAATTTTGTTTCAAAGACTTTTCTTGAAGTGACTTTAGCAAAATCTAATTTTAGCATGAAGAAAGGGTTTTAGACACTGCACTAGGTGTATATTTCATTGAGTTGTCATGTTGAATATTTAATCTGACAAATATCAGAAAAGTACTGGTTGTATGTATATGTAATGGATTTTCTCCTACCTCCAATGCTTTTGGCAGCATCTTTTAGGCTCCCTGCGAAATATTGCCGAAGAACTGGCAAGCTGATTGTCTTCTCTGTCTTTGTCCTCCTCTTCTCACCGGCTTTTCTGCCACCTGATGTGCGGCGCCCACCAAAAGAATAAGAGTCTGCACCACCCTCAACATTTCCATGTGATCCAGAACTTTGATGAAGCTGCCCAAATTCTGAAAATACCTGCCCACTGTGTAAACTCCCCTGAGTGTTATCCCAATGGGTTGTCACCTTGAACTCTTCCTTAGGTTCTTCTGTTTGATAATCCAATGAGACAGAGACGCCTTTACCCTTCTGTTGGGCCTCAATCATATGTGCAATCCAGGAAGACTCTTTTCCAGAGGGCTCTTCGGTGGGAGAAGATATCAGTCTCTGAGTTTCTTCTTCATGAAGTCCTCCATCTGAACCAATAACTGGTTCCCTGATTGGGAACATGATTTCCTCTTCTAGTTCTTTGTCTACGTCAACATGTAGACTCCAACAAGCCTGCTGTATAACAATGCACAGTGAGTTGAGCATCTGTTTCTGTTCTTCAGGGTCTTGGCAATCCTTAGGTAAGAAAAACTCCAGGACAAAATCAGCTGGTCCGGTGCAGACACTTCGAAAGGGAATTGCTACAGCAGCATGCAGCCCAAACATCCTAGCATGGTGAGAGAGAGGATATTCAGTCTTGCTAAAGGCTTTTATGTCAGTTGCAAAACACGGTTTGTTTGTTGTGAATGCTGCTCCAACAATTCCTTGACCTCGACACAGGTGATGCTCGGAGCACGCTTCATGGAGGCCCAATATGTCAAGATCAGCCACAAAGCAAGCAGCATCCACTGTCGACACACAATGAGCATAGTTCTCATCAGAGTGTCGGCATCCGCCTTTGCCTTGTTGGATACATGGAGCCCAAGTCTGAGCCAAAGGCAATCTATGAGTCTTGCAGACAGATGCTAACACCTCTACTATTTCAGTCAAGGCAGCTTGGTACAGCTCATCACACGTCTGACAAGACAAAAAAAGAGCATACAGTAAGCACATCTGTGATATTAGGAATGAATTGTAAGATAATCAAAGTTTCTGTTCTGCTGTGCCATCCTCTTACCTTTACACAGTGAGGGCAGAAGTTCTGAGAGCTCCTGAGATCAACAGCCTGCAAATCAATATGCTTTATTTGGTTAGAACATAAATAATCATTGTATATCCAGTTTGTACTTGGTTGCTTGCAACAAAGTAATTTTTTGCCTATAAATAAAAGACCAGTCTCCTCAGTTGAGGAAGACACAAAACTCAGCCTTCATAAATTTATTAAAGATTTTTTAAACTCCTAACAATTATTTTTAATGCAGTAGCAATAATCACAATGAAGAACATGTGAGGAATCTGAGAGTCAATTTCCATATCAGCACAACAAATTTTGTGCAACACAAATGAATGAAAATAGATTTTTTTTTTGGCCAAATGGAAGGACAACATATAGATACTTGCATGGCATGACGAGCAAAATTTGTGTGGATGTGAGCTACTATTTAATTAGCTAATCACTTAATATAATTCACTGAAATTAATGATTTTCTCATACTTCTTCAGAGATATATAATCAAAATTTCTGAAGCTTTTTCTAAAGGCTCTTCAGAGACTTATAATTAGAATTTCTGAAGAAGAAATTGAAGAAAGAAGAGACCTCAAGAGCTTGGCAGACATATTCAAGTTCTGGACGATAATTGACCTTTTGAGGAGTCATTACAATCTCAACGACCCCCAAGCAAGTTCCACTGCCGTTTTCAAAGATGGGAAGGGCCAGAGAACCCCGAACATCGTACTGCTGAGCATAATCGATACGAGGATACTCGTAGCTTCTGAAGAAACGAACATCAGGAGTCCACTCAGGCAACTTCCCCAGAAAGGCTCTACCGGGCAACCCGACAGACTCAGCTGAATCCTCCTCAGTTATGAACTGGTAATCTTTGGAAACATTTCTGTAGCCTGCAAGACTCTTGCAGTTTGGGTCAAGAGAGAATGGCTGATCACGAGTGGTGAGATATTGCCTGCCTCCTCTCTTAATAGGCACCCAAATTTGAATAAGCACATCTCTGCCTTTTGTGCATTCTTTCAAGTATCCAATGGCCAGCATTAGCCTCTCTTTCATAGAAGATGAAGGACCTGGATTTACCCTGGGACCAATCCACAACCTCCTGTCTGCCTCAGTGTTGCCTTCAACTGCAAAACTAGAGTGGGATTCAGGATAACTTCCATCTGTGTTTTCTTCTTGATAGATTTGCTGATGGGGGCTCATACTCAAATGAGCAACAGTGCTGTTAGACTGATGATCATAAGGAGGAAAGTAATGTGAAGGATGATCAGTTAGAGCCCGAGAAATCGGAGGACAAACTGGCTGCTGCTGCTGCTGCTGCAGAAGGTTGAATCCAGCATTGCTCTGCAACCAGCATCCTTCAAATAAAATCTCATTCATGAAGTCCCCTTCCATGGTGGTGTCAGACAATGTCCCATAGGAAGAAGAATTTGGCATCAAGGCACCATAGTCCATAGTGAAGAGTTTTTTCTTTCTTTCTTCTTTTTGTTCAAATTTCCAGCAGATCGGCCTATAATCAATGACAAACCAAATTTCAGACACAGTAAAGACCCGGGAACCATCAAGATGAAGAAAATTAAAAGGAAGAAACTAACTACAGCTTCATATAGTAGAGCACACACATGAACTCATACACAATACACACACACTTTTTTATTTTAAATGTAAAGTTCAGAACTTTTCTTTTTTGAAACTTCATTGGTCCAGAAGTTATATCAGCCCGCGTTCAAACTGCACTCATGATGAGAGTTAACAAAACAAGATTTCTGATTTCTATTTTCAGGATTCATGAACATATCTAAATCAGAGAAAATCAAGAACCCAAGTTCATAAAAATATCCAGTTTTTTGTGTTGCTAAGAAACTGGTTAAAATGTACAAAGAAAGATACAAACAAAACAAGTCCTAGAACATTTATACATGCTGCATAGAACTGGGTACAGAAAAGAAAGAATGTTATAGAAAACAGAAGAGAATTAAATCAAAGTCACTCATCACTCACTGTGTGAATTCAGATTGAAGGAAAAAGTGATCTCAGTTGAGCTTTTATGAAGAAACAAGTTGAGGTTTAGTGTCACAACAAGAAACTGAATTGGTCTCCCACCATGCACACAAAGGAAATAAATGAATTTGGTTTCTCTCTCTCAAAGTCTCAAAAATAAAATGAGTTTGCTATTTATATATCCTCCTCCTTAGAGAGAGACTCATAGTTGTTCAAGCTTCCTCCTCTCTTGGTTTTTGGGTGTCTAATTCTTTGAGGCAGGACGTGTGAAGAATCTCCTATTTAAGAACCAAAGAAACCTTCTTTTTTTTTAAACAAAAACAAAAAGCAGAAAAGAATCTCTTATGTACCTTGGACCCCACAAACAAACAAAAATTATTTTTTTTATAAAAAAAAAAACTTTAATTTAAAAAAGCCATGTATGTAAATGTACTTAGATCAAGCAGTTCATCATATTCCAATCATGCATGATCTTTTGAACCTTCTCCCTTCTCCTCATACAAGTGTCATTTTCCTTACACTTAAAACAATATCATTAATGCATCACACAAGCTAGTTTTTGTTTTCCATGTTTTCCAAGTTTATATTTCCTTCAATTTGTCCAAATTTTGTTACAACTTCTTTAGCACATTGTTAAAAATTAAATAAGAAAAAAAAACGTCATTTAAAAAAAAAGTTTGTTTCATGACATTGTTATCATGAAAGTGATATCATCATTATTTTGTGTTTAACAAAACATACATCCTTTTTGGAAAAAAAGAATTAAAAAAAACTTCAGTTTTTATTTTCTTATTTAATTTTTTAGCAAGGTAGTAAGAAAGTTATAAAAATAACTAGCTTGTTATTAAAAAAAAGTTAATATATTCAATAAGGGTAAACTTGGAAAACAAAAACTAGTTTGTGTGATGCATTAATGACATTGTTTTAAGTGTAAGGAAAGTGACACTTGTCATGAGAAGAAGTGAGAATGTCCAAAAGAGAAGGTTAGAGAGAAGGTTGCTATAGCATTCCCCTAAAAATAATAACTCTCTTCCTCTCTCTTCCCCTCTCTATGTATGTGGCTATTTCCGTTGTCCGTACGACGCATGTTAGAAGGAGACTCATCCTTGGGTGAAGAAGTATTTTCAAGTGACGCACACTGTAATGTACTCTCTTCTTCTTCTCTTACACACGGGCACATCATCGGTGAAAAGGATGCCTCTCTATTTAATTTAGTTTAATTTAATCATTTTCTTAGTCATAATTAATTACCTTTAAAACTTCAACATATGAATATACAGTAAATACCAGTACTTTTAAAGTAGTGGGCGTATTTTTATTGTATGTATAACATAGCATGCCTACGTTTACCTCGTAAGACAACATTACTTTTACAATACATATACATAGGGAAAATTAATGTCACTTGAACTATAAGCTTAGTTGCAATTTGTCACTTATCAAAGAAAACACTTTAAATATATCACCTCATGTTACAATTTTGTTGTAATGTGCCACCTATTATCTAATTCCGTCTATTTTTTTTTGTTCAAAAATTCACACGTGATTTGCAAGTGACCATTTCAAAGGGTATTTTGATACCCGAAATATATTTATATATGCTCACGTGTGAAGCACGTGCAACTTTTTTAGATGAAAGAATGGATGCACTAAGTCGTAGGTGACACATTACGATAAAATTTGAATTGAGGTGACACATTACTTCAACTATTTTTTTAAATGGTATACTTGCAAGAAGTCCTAAAGTTGAAGTGCGCAATTTTATTTGGTAAGTTGTAACCAACACTGATGCATATAAATATCCCTCTCACACTCACTAATCTAATTTTGTTTTCTTATGCTAATTTTATCTTATTATTTTACTTGCTTAGATTCTTTTTACGTCGCCCGGTGTTGTAAACAGTTGTAAGTGAAGTGAGAGCGCCTATAAGCTCTGATGAGGATTAAGAGGACTACAAGTAAATCTAAAGGGAAGACAACAAGAGAAATGGAAGGAATTAAGGAGGCTTGTTCATCTTCATCAGCAGAAAAAGATGTTATAGTAGAAAACTAGGTGCTTGAATAATGCTGATTGATTATGCTTAAACATATATCAGTCAGAGGACCCATATGTTCATGTCCAAACTCAAATGGGCAGACAGGGATAAGGGAAAGAAAAAAAAGTGTCACATGGTTGGTTGAATTGAGGCAAGATATTCACATGGATCATATTGCAGAACATATAGATAAACACTACAATAATAATGGGCAAAGACACTAAACAGACGACGGATTACGATTCTTTGACTTAAAACTATAAGCAAAGCTCTGATTGAGTAGTTCGAGGGAAAAACCAAGTGACATTGTGATTAAGTTTCCTTCAATCATGATAATTTGCTTACTATTAGGGCCTCCATATAGAGCAGTGTGACAATGTTCAGTGGGGAGAGCTAGAATCAGTAGGGTTAGGTGAAGTCTCTGTTGGTGTCAGTGTTAAGTAAGGTGAAAATAATGCACAGTAAATATTTAATTTTCTCTAATCAGAAACAGTAAAAGGGCCGGCCACTGAGGTAATTGTATAATCTTTGTAAATGGAGAGTTGAGTTGGTGAGGCTTAGGGTTAGTGGAAGAAAGCTGATATGTGGTCCTTTTTTTGTTGTTCAAAACCCAACCACAATCAAAGAAAGGATCAATTCTTTGCCAAGTGATTAGAAATTACTCTTGACAGCAATGTGATTGTGTGGGAAAGTGATGGTCATTTATGATAAACATGAACCTGCAGAAAACATGTATATGCAGTTGGATGTAGACTGCTATACTTTAATTATCAAGTGACTCAGAAAGTTGGAAAAAAGGGTTTATCAGAAATCATGAGTGCATTGTTGAAGTGTACATCAAGCTTTTCAAAGATTTGTTGTTATATATATATAATTCTTGAGTCTCAGAGACCAGTAACTTTTTTTGGGTTATTTTTATATAAAGATTTGAAAGGGTCATGTCATGTGGGAGTTTTGTGTGAAGTTTGTTTATAGAAGTGACCATATATAGAATGACCGTAATTGACTGCTACTTAGGGCAAAGGAAAAAAATGGTTGATATGGGCAATGTCTGTTCTCCGACAGAGAGGATGATGTGCTAGTTCAATCATTTAACATGATAAAGGAAAAATTAATTCGTTTTTTTTTATAATTAATTTCTATATATTGATTTGAATATTATAGCTAGTAGTTGAATGACGTACCCTGCCATTACAGGTATAATGACTTTCCTTTTTCTTCTACTTTCTTACAAACCAAACAGAAAATCTGATTGTAAACTACACAAATCACCAAGAAGAATCCTCTAAGTTGCAGAGATGAGAAAGATTCTTTCAAGGCAAAGTTACTGTAGGTGCAGTAAAATTTATGTAATGGTGTTAGTTGACTTAAGCTTTTTACCATGGTTTACCCAATTGTGAATTTTTTAGGCTTAGAGTAATGTAAAGTAGATCAGCCCTTGAAAGAAAAAGTTGTGCAGCTGTGTTAATTGAACATGAGTCAGGAAAGCTTGAAAAAGTAAATATCTGAGATACAGACCTACATATGCCAGCAGATTAACAGTTCCTTAAAGTTAAAAAGTAGAGACTAGATTCTTATCCATAAGGTAACTTTGATCTTTCTTTTCCTGTGAGAAATTTAAAGCATCTCAACTTACAGATAAGCTCATCATTATTTGACTTGCCCTCGGAAGAGAGAGAGAGAGAGAGAGAGAGAGAGAGAGAGAGAGCCAAGGAATAGTGTGATAATGTCAACTAATACCTACTCTGTAACATGGGGAAAAAAAACTAACACCTACTTAATTGGAAAGTTTGACCCAAAAAAATATGGAAAGGATCATTTACAAGTCAGCTAAATTCTAGGTCTAGATGGGTCAGAAAGATGAGACTAGGAATGATTTGATTCTGTTGAAACCCAAAGATCACATTCACATACAAACCCATAAATGGATTGTGCAGCTAGCCCAAACTATTTTCTCCACAAATATACTGCCTTGTGAATTCTTCTTCCCTTGATGATTGATTATTAGCCCTGAACTGTGTAAACTTATACCCTCTGTATAATTTAAGGCCACCAAAAGTTGATCATGTGTGTTTCGATATCCATTACCAATGATATAAATCATCAGTCACAAAGATTATAACTAGCCACAAGAATCAGAATCTTATATACTATCAAGTGGTATGATTCAGTAGAATTTATCCCACAGTTCACAACCACTAATCTGAAGGGAAGCACTATTTTTCCACAACCAAGAGGCTTTGTTTGCAAACCCAACTGACAACAGTGAGTGTGTGCATCAATATAGCCATTTGGGGAAGTACCCCAATCTGAATTCATTACATCAAATCCAATGGGCTAATAAAAAAAACTTGCACAAACTACTGATTTACTGATTTTTCAGACTACATTTGGTTTTTGGACCACTGTCAGACTTGACATTAGGACTAACTATTCAATCTTTGGACCAACTGGATTTTTACAAACAGAACTGAGCTTTGTAATTTATAAGTATATTAGTAATGAGATACTGTATTTTCAGGTATTCTGTGAAACACAATATCTGTCTCCTAATTGTGGAGACAACAAAAGTTTTAACTAAAACACATCTTTTCCAAGTCAATATCAATAGTTACAAAATATACCAATCCTAATTAAGTTGCTAGTAACATTAGAGAGTTAGCAGACAGAAATTTAAGTCCCCTCAAAGACCCAACCTTAAATCCAAAGTGAGGCCTGAAGAAGAGGATTGAGCATCTTCAATATGAGAAGCTGCAGGCAAATTCAAATCCAATCCACCAGAATGGCCTTCCTTTGAAATCCCACTAGGCTGCTGCTGCTGTTGCTGACTTAGCCCTAATTGGGTCATCATCATGGATGATGATGATGGCTCATCCCCTTTGTCCCAATGACACCTCATGTGCCCTCCCAAAGCTTGACCACTTGAAAAAACCCTCCAACAAACACTACATTTGTGCCCTGATCCTCCCAACATCATAACCATCTTATTATTCTCCTCCATCACATCATCATCCCCATCATCCCCATCAACATCACCATTGTGATGATGATCCTGATCAACCTCACCATCACTCCTTGTAATTGCAAAACAGCCCTTCACATTCTTGTGGCTTGCCCTGTGGCCCCCCAAAGCCTGGTGGGACCCAAATACTTTCTTGCAACTTGAACACTCAAACTTCCCATTACCACCATCAAACACCTCTTGAGCACCCTGAAAAGTACTTGTACTAATACTCTGAGTAGTGATCTCATTACTTGTCCCATTAGTGCACCCACTAGCAAGCATTATCAAACTCGAAGCCGCCTCGTGGTCTGCTTCCCCCATTGCCCATTCCAACTCAATCAAAGGAGCGTTCGGGGAAACGGGTCGTCGTAAGTTGGGTGGGGGGTCAATGCCGCGCCACTGCCGCTCAGGGTGGCAACGCATGTGCCCAAACAGAGCCTTCCATGACCAAAACTTCTTCCCACACTCACTACAGGGCTTTGTGATCTTTGGGGCAGATGGGTCTGGTTTTTTGGCATACTTGGGCCTTGAAATCCTACTTGGAGCAACTGGGTTGTCGAGTCTGATCAGTTTCGAGCGTTTTTTCCTGGGATTTTGGTGGGTTTTATCGTCTCCAACAAAATAAGTGGAAGAAGAAGAAGCAGCAGCGAAAGCAGTGGAGGGGGTGGCGGTGGTGGAAACGACGAGGTCTTGGTGGGTTGTGGGGAATCGGAAATCCAGGTCGGGAGAGTTGTTCATTGAAGCTTTTCTCTGATTTTGGCGAAGAAAGACAAAAAAATTGGGGGAGGACGAAAAAAGTCGAACAGTTGGTGTAGGTTTGGATTTTGTAGGGAAGGAAAGCGGTTACTTTGGACTCATCTTGAATTGGCAGTTATAAACAGTTATTGTGGTTCCTATCCGTACAGTTCAAACCCACTATCCCATAATGTATATATTTTTTTTGGGTAATGTTTCTTATTTATTTCTTTTCTTCATCCACAAGCACATTGCGTGTGCATCAAGGTGGCAAGCAAAAAAAAAAAAAAAGTGGCAAAGGAAAAAATGAAGTGGCAATCAAAAAAAAAAAAGTGGCAACCAAACAAAAAAAAAAAGAAAAAAAGAAAAAAGAAACTGGCAATAAGCAGCTTTTCTTTATAAAAAAAAAATTATATATATAAACTCTTCATAAAGTTTTAGTGGCTTTTTTATGGCATTGGAATGAATGATTTAATCAAAACTGTGTTAGAATATGATTCATGCGTCTTCCATTGCGCAAAATCTCTATTTTTCTCTTTACAAATAATGGGGACTTAAAATAATAAAAATAAGTATAACCCTTTCACTTTCTAAAGATGCATTGTAATTTGTAACCAACAAATTCTACTTAAAAACCAGTCATTGTTGCCTTTTCATTTAACTAACTTTTTTTGGTGGGGTAGGAGTTGGGATATCATAAACTTTCCATGAAGCATTGAACTGAGCTGAAGGTGTACATGATTATCTCTTGCCTTTAAGCAAAATTGAACTGAAGTGAATTATTTCAATTAAATGGGATAAGTGTCATGCGTTATGTTTGGTACACTTATAAATTTGGGAGCTTCTATAATGAGGAGCTAATTTGAGGAGGTTATGTGAGGAGGCCCATCTCACCATCAAAAGGGGTGTGGACCCCCCAATGCACCCCCCCATGTACTTTGTTTTTTATTATTGATGGTGAGATTTCACCTCCTCAAATAACCTCCTCAAATTAGCTCCTCATTCTAGCCTTTCCGTATAAATTTTGAGATTGAACTTATTAAATTGGACAACAGTAGTGTCTTACCGCTAAATGGGTCCAAAACAAACCTCGCTTCCCCACCTAAAACTTGGGTTCAAAAGAATAGAGGAAACAACTAGGCCCACCATATTTTGAGCCCAATACACAGAGAACAACAGAGGACATAGCCCAACACAAACTAAACGAACAAGGATCAAACCAGAGGCTGTACCAACGAAGCATTATGATAGCATCATAACAATTGACAAATTTTCTTTTACATTTTTTTCAACAGTTACAATTCAATCATTTTCAGCAGCTTTGGATACAGCTGATACCAAAAAAAGAAAATTACAGTATATACGATAGGCTGAATATTACAGACTTGCAGTGAATACCAGCAAACCAACTGCAGAAAAGATGCAATCAGTGTAAAAGAAACTAGTAGGCACACTTCTATCCAGCAGCAATTTACTGAGCATCACAATTACCCCCTCCTCCCTGGTGTCCTTTCACTTGTCTGATCGGTCTTGATGAGTTGACGGTACTTTGAATTGCTTCGCAGGTTTCCCTAGAACATTCAAAAACCCAACACGCTGCAATTCTTTTGCTGCAAGAATCGGAGATGCAAAGAGGAATATAAGAGAAATAGGTTTTGTGCTGTTTCCACATATTTAAGGTGAAAATATAATAGGCACAATCAAATAGAAAGCTTAAAACTTCATATGCAACCACCACTACCCGACTAAACAGTTGTGGCCACACAAAAAAAGGCATGATTACCAGACATTATATCAAAACATTATGCTTTATATTATTGCCTGGTAGTCATAGAAGATTAAAAGATCCTGGGCTCTTTCAACTCTAACCCATCATCAAATGGATTATAGAGTTTTAAATGACAAACAGTAACGATAGGTTTTGAAAAAGATTGATGCCAGGTAATTGGAGGACAGCACTTACACTGAAATACCAAAATTCACACACACAAAAAGTCCATAAAAATAACGTCTATAAGTTTAGTGGACCTCAAATTGTTTACAATTCCCACATCACATACATCTGTAACATAACTCACTGAAAAGAATGAACAAGGCAGCCAATCCGCAAGCAGCCTTGCCAATGTTTGTTTTCACCAAGTCACATGTATCATGCCGTTGTGCATACTTCGGATACTGACTCGTTCTTTTTTCTTAATTTCTGAGAACAGTACCAGTTATGTTTCTGAGTACATATGGGGGGACTAGATGGCCAACTCAACAGATGATTTGACTTTACTATACATGAAGATAGAACAAAGTATCATTAAACTAGTCACGTATACATGCCATACAGGCATAAAGAAAATATCCATGGTACAAAGTAAACATCTCGGGTGATTTCCTTTAAAAGTGGGAAAAAAAACATCCTTACCATCAAAACTTATTGATTGATGATTGTTTAAATCATCTCCATATAGACTTTCTATTATCCTTGTACATAAACAAGTACAGCATATCAATTTAGCTACCAAACATGTGAAAACATTGAGAATTTTGAGAAACCAAATAACAGACACTGAAAATAGTTATAAAAGAATCAACTCACAACTCTGCATAATGGTGTTAAAATAAGTAGTACCCCAATACAAGATTACTTCCAACAAAATAACCTGTGAATCTTCGTAGATTAAGTGGACGAAGATATTTCGCGGATTAGGCAAGCAAGTAATTGCAAGTAAAGAAATATTTTTGTTTATTTTCCCGTTGTGAAGTTACACAAAGACCACAGATAAATATATTTAGAATAAGACAAAAAAGCATGAATTTCCATAATTAGTTCTTTCCAAGTCAGGAGATTTGTTTAGCATCTTTCTATTTAAAGAAAGAGTAAGACACAATTTTCAGCTTACCTTCCTCCAGTGAAAGCTGAATTGATCTCTTTTCCAACTCAACTGCATGTCTGCTCAGGTCAACTGAGGAGAGCGACCGCAGCACTAACAGATGAACATAAATCAAAGGGTAAATCAGTATAGTTAAAATTTAAGCAATTTGAAACATAAAAATCTTAAGGTGGATTTTCTCAATTCAAGAGCATACTGTGGAGATAATCCTCTTGCTCTGACTGGTCCAATTTCCTTAATAGCAACTGCAATTGATGACATCGCTCTTCCCAGTGCAGATTTCTGAGTCCCTTTGAACCAGCCAATGTTTGGGTAGCAGAAGCAAGGGGATTGGATCCTGATGGTGCTATTCCTATACCAGACTTACAATGTGGGGCACCAACTGAAGGTTTTCCAGGCTGGATGGTTGAAGCTGACATCGGAAAAGGTGCAAAAGCCGGAATGCAATAAACTTTTGACTCCTTTGTTTGGAATACGGGTCGGGTGCTTGCCTCTTGGTGACTGGGTCGGGTGCTTGTCTCGTGGTGACTGGGTCTGGTGCTTGCCTCGTGGTGACTAAGCGTCCTTGATACCTGACAATCAGCATTAATGCTTGCATTATCACAAGTACTACTTCTGACTACATCTGCTTCCGACTTTCTACGAACATAGACAAGATGCCCATTTGCAGCACTGCTACTGGGGAGCTGGTGGTGAGGAAGGCTCATCGAGCACTCAGGTTCAGGTAAAGGTCTCTTGGTGCCCAAAACTCTAGGAGCATTACTAATGGGTCCTCCATCCTTTAGTAGAGGAAAGTTCCCAATAGAGTTAGGCATTGCAACTCTAATATCATTTTGCAGATCTCTTAACGCAGTCTTCTTTACAGGAACTGACAGTTGCTTATCATGAACAGGCAATTCGGATTCGGTAGCTCCCATCCCATATTCACTAAATTTAGAATCTATGGTTTGCTGAACCATCTGAAGTAATTAACCTTGTGATGGAAAAATCAGTCAAAGGTAGCAAATTACAATTTCTAAAATAACTAGGGTACTAATAAGTGTAACAAAAAAATAAATAAGCGAAACTTCGGAAAAGCATTAACTATTGTATACTCAACATTTTATCTTTCAATTTTGGCGGGAAAACTCAAGTTTGGAACTATGATCTAAAAACACATTGTAAGTTTCTTTTGATACACAGGAGAGCCAAACTTAGCATCATGAAAATACCAATTTAGCTGCCAATGACCCAACAAATGCATACCATTTCCAGACTAAAAGCAGGTTAAATGCCAATGGATGATCATATAACTTTCTCAGTTCAGATTCTTGGATTGAATGTTGTAACCCCAGAAAATTCAAGAAAAATAGAAACAAACGAATGACCCTGATATAGATCAATGCATTTTCATATGAATTTAACAATTTTAAGACATGGGTTCTATTGAAATCGAAAATTAAGGAGCACCCATTTGATCGATTTAAATTTAGGCAATAAATTACTGCGATTAGTTAGTCATGCAATTGAGTTTTGATCATGTTCTATCAACCACACACCTAAATAGAGCGTCTCAAAAATATATGCATACGCCTAAACAGAAGGACAATAGAAGAACAGAGTAAGACTCGAGGAAGAAAAGAAAGAGCTTGATCGAGAAAAATTCCAATCGAAGGTAAAGGGGAAGAAGCATTACCGTAGCTCATTGGAACCGCTTCAAGTTGAAACAGAAAAAAGACGGGTTTCAAAAGCCAGAAGCTTTGGCTCTAAGCCTCTGATAATGCGTGGAGTTTGTAGTTTAGTCCCTCCATATGCTTTAGAAATTTGAGTTTGGTCCAACAATCTTTTGGTATTTATAATTTGCCCCAGAAGTTTGATATATCAATATAACTTTACCTTTTCCTGATTTAATTTTTCTTTTTCCTTTTAAAGACACTTGGATTGGTTGGACTTGAAAGTTGAAATTAGAAAAGAAGTTTCAGATCCTATAGATGACAAGTAAAAGATGATAAAATGTTAGAAGTCTAGTTCGAAGATGAAAATTACAAATTGTAAGTTCTTCCGTGTTTGGAAGCAACAAAAACCACTCAACTACTCAATTACTATAAAACAAAACAAAAAACATAATTGACATTCTCATTAGAGACCATTTAACTTAGAAGTTATATATATTATGTCAGGCCTAATCAATAAAGAAAAACCTGATATGGTTGAAGGGACTTTACATGCACATTTTGGGAGGTTTTAAACCTTTACCCACATGGCTGAGAATTGAACTCTTACCAATGATAGTAGAGGATTACTACAGTCTTATTATTGTACAAATAATATTGAGTCCTCAAAGAGGTCTTGATATGTCCTAGCTCTGAAATGGGGTAGCCTCCCTTACCTTGAACCTTTTTTCATAAAAATAAATAATAATAATAATAATAATAATAATAATAATAATAATAATAATAATAATAATAATAATAATAATAATAATAATAATAATAATAATAATAATAATAATAATAATAATAATAATAATAATAATAATAATAATAATAATAATAATAATAATAATAATAATAATAATAATAATAATAATAATAATAATAATAATAATAATAATAATAATAATAATAATAATAATAATAATAATAATAATAATAATAATAATAATAATAATAATAATAATAATAATAATAATAATAATAATAATAATAATAATAATAATAATAATAATAATAATAATAATAATAATAATAATAATAATAATAATAATAATAATAATAATAATAATAATAATAATAATAATAATAATAATAATAATAATAATAATAATAATAATAATAATAATAATAATAATAATAATAATAATAATAATAATAATAATAATAATAATAATAATAATAATAATAATAATAATAATAATAATAATAATAATAATAATAATATTGAAAGACGGGAAAATTTAACTACAAAACCTCGAACGCAAGTCATTAATTCAATATTGCAACAATGAGCAATGGAGAGTCTCTCCGAGCTCCTTTAAAGGAGTCTTTTATTTAATTAAAAAAATAACACTAAAATAATCAACTACCGTCCTTGATTGATTAGATACAAAATAAGAAGAAAGAAAAAAAGGATTAAAAACAACCCAACAACAATAAGAGGAAGAACGTGAGACGAACTGTAAATTTAAAACCTTTTATTTTCTAGTCACTTGTTAGAAACTGCCATTAACAATTTCATACATGTTCCATAAAACATATTCTGGTATACATTTGTTAACGTATCTAAGTGGTACTGGAACAAACCTATCTAGGCTTTGAAACCATTTATTTAAAAGGAGCAGATATACATGGACCAAAGGACGTTGAAGCATACATTAGAAATAAAGAGAGACGCAAGTAAATAGTTGGGAAATGTATAAGCTTAGCCACAAAGTTCATAGCTCTATCAGATTGTGCGTTCTTTGCTTATTCACACCCCCAAAATGGAATCTACAAGTGCCTGTATGTCTCGTGTCTTTCAGAAGACTTTACTCCAAATTACTAATTTTACACGTCCACAAGAAAAATTCCCAATTGAATAATATAAAAACATGAAAACCAAGTGAAGTTACGCCCCGGGATTCCCTAAAAGTCGCTCTACCGCAGCATGGACGTTCCCGGAAGTGGCTTGCAATGCCCTGATATTCTCTTGGGTGTCAAAGAAACCCATCTCTTGAAGCTGCGTCAGCTGCGTCGCATACAGTTCCTCAGGTGGTACTGCAACAAGAAGTACAAATGTTCAGAGACAACACAAAAGTTTATGATATTTTGTTTCTTTTCTTATAATTCAAAGCTGATTTATTTCCTAAAGTGTAAGATTGTATTTAGATGTGAGAACAAGGGGGGCTAACCATTAGGGTTGTTTGCAGCAGCCAAGCTGCCAGTTCCAAGACCACCAAACATGTTCATCAGCATATCCAACCCAGCAGCATTATTAGGGCCTCCTGATTACACATAGATAGTTAAAAAAAGTGAATAACTAAATGGAGAAAATGACAACGACCAATTATTATATTTGAACTTCTTAATCTCAAAGTACCTGTAACACCACCAGTCTGAGCTGGATCCCTGGCAAGAAAGCAACAAATGATTAGTAATATATTATGAATTTAATCTATGATCCCTGGCATCCTAGACCACAAGTTGGGCCAGGTTGGTGGTGTTGGGGTGTGAACGTAGGGAATTTCAAACCATGACATACATTGACGCTTCCACACAAACAGATTAATCTATGGGCAAATGATGTATACAAATATGTTATGAAATCATTGAGACCCTAGAATGGTGTTGTATTTAGACAAAAGTATTAAATAAATTTTGAAAAAACATCAGATGCTGACAGCAAACATAGCTAACTAATTGGATTGAAGCAACCAAGTAGGCATGGTAACGTATATTTAGACTCACTGAGTTGATTGCTGTCGATTGGTCTGAGAAAATAGTGACTGCTGTAAAGCAACCATTTGCTGCAAGAGAAAAAGCCAGAGTAGGAAAAAAAAATAAAAGTTAAGCTTAGGTTGTTCACATTTCAAACAATTTCAATGTTCTTAGAACAAAATGCAATTAAGTTACATTAACCAAGAAATAGATATCAATACATGGACTAAGGAGAGCATAAACAAGAAGTTCCAGTAGAGCATATAAATTGTCTAAAGAGAGAGGCAGAGACAGAGACAGAGATTATATTTGTTAATGAATTTTGGTAGAATTTTGAAAGGGAAAATACCTGCATTGTCTCTGGGTTTGTTAACTGACGTAAGAGCTCCGGATTTTGCATCATTTCTCTAAGTTGAGGATTTAAATCAACCATGCCGCGTAGTTGTGGATTGAGGCTCATAATCTAAAATTTTAAAAAAAAATGAATAAATTAAAAACTCCACTTTTGGAGAACATTCACCTTTTGGGTGAAGAAAATTTGTCTAACAATGGTACCTGATTCATGTACTGGGGATTCGAGAGCATGCTTTGCATCATCTGGGATATTGCTGGATTCTGCAAAAGCTGATTCATTACATTAGCATCTGGCATGCCACCAAGCATCTGTTCCATTCCGGGGAGACCAAGCCCTCCAAGGCCAGCAATACCAGGTGCCCTTCCATCCCCAGCAGGAGGTGGCCTGGTGGTGTTTGGTTGATTTCCTGCTGACAATTCAGATCATAATATATATAAATAAAGAAATTTTACAATGTATTCAAAGTACCTCTTTTTTTAAAATATAACCTATCCAAAAGAGCTACAAACTAGGCTAGTAAAAGACATAAGTTAACCTAATAATCATTTTTTGGGGCCAACTGCAGTGGGTTTCAGGTCAAAAAGCGACTGCATTTAAACACTTTAAAACATGCAACCACTTAAATAATATTATGCAGACTCGAACATAAACTTTGAGAAGGGTGCAGAAATTAGAATATCTATGTACCCCATTGAAAATTAGAGGGCCATTTTCATGTAAAAATTGACAACTAAATACATTGCCGTTAAGATTCAAGAGCCAGCGATTAAGTTTGCTTAACCAATTATTGATGTACAAATCAATATCCAACTACAATACCAGTCCTATTTTCATGACTGAAAGGAAAATTTTCCATTTAATACCAGCAATTAGTCAAGAATAAGAAATTCAGGCCACTGTCAGGAAAAAGAATATTTGGATAATAAAGAGAATGGGAGAAGCTCACCACCAGTATTGCCCCACGGGTTAGGAAGTGGGTTTGTATTCGGAGCAACAGAGCCTGCAGTCGTTTCTGAACCAGTGGTTGAAGGGTTGTTAGACCCATCCCTGACTTGTGCCCCACCCTGGTTGCCCAAAAGAGCAGAAAATGGATTTGAACCCAAATCATTTCCAGCATTCCCGGTCATTGTCGTAGCATTCAAAAATGGCTCCTGAACATTTTCATACATCCGCCTTAGCATGTTGAATCCCTCAGGTGAAGATTCAATATTACTCATTGCCCTGTCAGTGTTTCGCATCATCTCACGCATGAGTTCTGGGTTCCTTGCAGCTTCTAATGTCTGTCGGAGAATGCCAGGATCATTAAGTATATGTGCAAGCTCTGGGTTCCGGTCAATGATATCACGCATTTGCGGATTGTTCATGATCAAGCCTCGCATCAAATCAGGGTTATTCATTAGACTTTGAATGGCAGGCATGTTCATTATGTCCCTCATCATGTTCGGATTCTGAGTCAGTTGTTGCTGCACTTGTTCAAATTCCGGAAGCCCAGCTCCAAATAAACCAGGTGCTCCTCCACCACCACCAAGTGGGTTTAAACCCTGCCCAAATAACAAAGATGCCCCAAGGTCGGGACTTTGAAGCCCATCGCGTTCAGTGGAGCCAACCCCACGTGTAACACCCGGTGCAGTGTTAGGACTTGCAGAAGTAGCATTAGCAGCAGGAGCAGCAGGGGTTGAGGCAGCTGCAGCAAAGGCACGTACCATATGAACAGTATGATCTGCCTGCAGACCTTCAATACAAGAAACCAACCATCCATTAGACTACAGTAAATCACCTAAATCTTGACATATGGGTACTTTCACAGCCACTGACTGCGTCCAAACCAACAATCTCACACACAACACTCTAAACACTACCAAAGCAGCACGGGCAATAAAACCACAATTAAAGCCATAATCCACCAATATCATCATCCACATAATTTTCCAAATTAGCAATTTCACAATAAAAACATAATCAATTCGAAAGCAGAATTCGAAAAAATAACACAAACCCACATCAAAATCAAACCCAGATTCGATAAAAATTATAAAATCGATATTCATCAAAACATTGGGCAGAACAACGCAGGCCCAGAAAACGAAACGAGCATAGAGTCAAATCAGAGAAGCAACAAACCGTACCATAACTAGTCAGGGTCTGGTCGTCCTTCAAAATACGACCTTTGTAAATCAGCCTTTGCTGCTCAGCTGGAATATCGCAATTCTGAGCCAAAATTGCCTTGAAATCCCCAACAGTCGAGTCCAGGCTCGCCCTCACCGAAAACTTCGACCCATTGGAGCATCGAATATTAATCTGCTCTCCTCCTCCATCTCCACTGACTTTAGGTTCGCTCGAATCGCCCTCTGCACCCATAATTCTCTCCTACCCAATCGACCGATCGATCACGAAGACAAATGAAACGAAAACCCTAACCCTAGAAATTGAAAAAATCGAAACCCCTTAAGTGTGAAAGCTAATGAAAGCCCAGAAAAATTTGTGTTCTGAATAAATATAAGCTATTTTATATGGGAAATAAAAATTTGGGGGAAAATAAAAAATAAAAAATATATAATTTACAAAATTAAAATAGAGAAAAGGGAGGAGATTGAAGAAGATTTGGAACTGGACAGGTAGAAGATTAATCCGAGTATATGTGGGTTTGTGTGCCAAATGGGAAACCCTTTTGTAAGAGAAAAAGGAAAAGAGAGAGCTCAGATTCTCTACGGTTTGGTTCGCATATTCTTGTTGTGGAATTGGAGTTGAAGTCTTGAACCCTTCTTTTTTTTCTTCTGTTTTTTATAGCAAGAATTAAAAATCTTATCAAAATAAAATAAGAATTAAATAAATAGTTGAATTTTTATTATAATTTATTTTAGTGACCAATCATATTGTGCCATGATACTTTGAGTTCAAGTTGCTGTGGCACCCTTGTAGCTTTAACAATACTCAGCTTGGAGGTTTCATAGTTTTAATTGTTTGACGTTTATCTTGACATTCAAGATTAGGGTTACAATCTTTGTAATTATATTGTGAATGAAATATCACATATGATATCATACATATTTCACTTTCTTATTCCACACAGAGAAACAAAAATATAACTTTCATGATGAATATGATACTAAAGCGTTCTACCACTTAAATTGAAAGTCTCCATAATAGATTTGGAAATCATGCACACCGGCATGTTAACCGATAGACTTGTTAGTGTCTTGTGAATATGTTAGTGACTCGTTAAAAAACATGTCATGTTCGTGTTAACCCACAAAACCCCTTATCGGGTGTTAAGAAATTTAATTATTTATTTTATCTTTAAGTTCTTGACTATGTAAAGGGCATTTATGTTTCTTATGTAGAATGTCTAAATAACGAACTTAAGTAATTTTTTGTTCAAAAAATATTTCTTTTATTCTTACTAACAGTTGGTTAACGAATCAAACCAGTATTCAACATTGATTATGATTAACCTTTTTAACGGGTGAAACAAATTGTGTCGGGTTATCTATTAATCTTGAATAACGAATTGCGTCAGGTGAAACGAATTAGTTTAATGAGTTGTATTAGAGTTAAGTTAATTTCACATCACATGAGATGAGACAAATATGTAAAAGCATGACTTGTTGCCAGATATTAGTAGTCGATGAACATTAACTCTTAAGTGATATTTATTCCTTCATTGCGTCTAATTATGTTATAATAATCTCAGGGGACCTCTTTTTTTCTTTTTTTTGGCCCTTCAAGCTTTATCAAACCACCTTCCCTCTGAAGTCTGAAGTAATAATTTCATATGAAAACCAATAAAATTAAAAAACAATAAAAGATGATTAATCATCCAACAACCACATTCATAATGCAATCAGATAACAAAAAATAAGGAAAAATATTTGCAGGATCACGCTTCCTTAAGCTCCATTACCTCATTGAGACAGTATGACTCCCCAACATTCTAAAAATGGAGTGACAAACTATTGTCCATCTGGCTAACGGGTTTAGCACAAAAAGAATCTTGATTTGCAAATCAGTGGTCTCAGGTTCGAACCCCGATGGTACATTGATTGTGTGTGTGTGTGAGAAACCCTCATCTCCTTGTAGTTTAGGCTATCGATTTTATTCACACAAAATAAAAACTATTGTCAACATATAGCCCCTGATTAATTTCTCTCACTTCTTAATATACTAAAAATGGAGGGCACATGTAAAGGGCTTGTAGTTTAAGTGGTTAAGAGCATTTACCCTTGTACTTGAGATCCTAGCTAATATTGGGGATTTTTTATTTTATTTTATTTTATACAAGCGATATTATAGAAGGGGAGAATTAAATACAAGATCTTGGGTGTATGGGTAAACACTCTTAATTACTTGAACTACAAGCCCTTGTCACGTAAAGAGCTTGTAGTTTAAGTGGTTAAGAGCATTTACCCTTGCACTTGAGATCCTAGCTAATATTGGGGATTTTTTTATTTTATTTTATTTTATACAAGCGACATTATAGAAGGGGAGAATTAAATACAAGATCTTGGGTGTATGGGTAAACACTCTTAATTACTTGAACTACAAGCCCTTGTCAAATTTTGGAATTAAGATCTAATTACCCGATAATAATATCAATTTCTTTCAAAAATAAAACCATGCACCAATGGATGTGTACATGACATAAAAGTACCTTATAGATTAAATATAAAAAAATAAGATTCAAAGTGGTCATATTCTTTTTTTACTATATCAATTTGTGTATAGAATTCTAGGAGATGCTTATATTGTAAATGAAAAGGACATCTAGAGCCATGAGTTGTTGATGGATTTCATTAAGTTTGTAAAGGTAGGTTGCTAGTTGCAATGTGTGTTTTTGGTTGGATGGGGGTTGCTAGTCGCAATTTTCATTTATGATCAACCTGATTTAATTCCATCCACCAGATTGACAAGAAATGATGATCTTTCAGAAAAATAAAATGTGATATGCTCCTCAACAACCTGATGTCCTGCAAGTAGCTTTGTAGCACAATTAGCAATTTCTCAGCAATTTCTCATGGGCACTAATTATTGATAGATATCATTGCAATAGTATTAGTTGCACCTAATAAGGCACTAATCAAATATTAGTCCAATATGATGATTGAAAAATCTCAACGAACACTGGATAATCATTGGAGCTGTGCAGAAGAAAGAAGATAAAGAAAATTCTAAGAATCTGTCTGTGAACAAAAAAAAAAACCTTCTTTCACTTCAAAGACTCTTTTTAGCATTTTACAATCTATACCTGAATATGTTCTCACTCTCTTTGGCGCAAAGACACACAGGAAAGAACATAACACAGCTTGAACTATGATTTACTCCACTAAAACTTAATTAGGCAACACTCAAGAATGATTAAGGATTATAAATCAAGTTTTTTTTTTTGGTTGGAAATGTTAGGCAATGTGCTCACACTTACTCATATGTTGCAAAAGGGCATTTGCTTTTCTTTTCCCTCTGTTGGTTCCACATCTAGCCAGCTCCAGCAAATGCTCATATACTCCATACTGAAGAGCGGCTAAAGTGAAAGATGAGTTGTTTAATCCCAGCACTAGAAGAACTGATGTAGCACATTCCTTGTTCTTGGGGGTTCCGTTCTTGATAATTTCGACCAGGGTTTCGATGAAAGAGAGCCGGCCCATCTCATTTCGACCCTCGGGATGTGATGCAAGGAGTAACAAAATTGAGAGGGCTTCATCAGTCATGCCCAAGCTCTTATCCTCAAGTAAATGAAGCAATGGTGGTATTAAACCAGCATTGATGGCTCTAGACTTGTTGGCTTGGTTCAAAGACAAGTTAAATAATGCAGTGGCAGCATCCTTTTTACCTCTGACTGTTCCATTCTGCAGAAGATCTACCAAGGGAGGAATTCCATTCAAAGTTCCCACTAGTACTTTGTTCTCATCGAGCATCGATAAGCTAAACAATGCAGCAGCAGAATTCTCTCTAGCTTCATCTGTTCCATGCTGAAGGATTTCAACTATACCAGGAATGGACCCTTCTCTGGCTATGAGTCTTTTGTTTGCCTCATCAATTGACAAATTTAAAAGCGCTGTCACGGTGTGTTCTTGAATCTTCGAATTGGGATAAGACAGGAGCTTAACCAGTTGGGGGATTCCTCCACTATTAGCAATCAGAATTCTGTTCTCCGGATTCTCTTTGGAGAGCATACGGATTTTGAAAATGGCTTCTTTTAAGACTTCCAAATTACAAGACGATAGATTTTGTACTAAACAAGACACTTCCTCTATGATTTCAGCAGATGAGTCATCAGAACCTGCACAAGGCTCCTTCTTGGGCAGTTCAAAATTGTTCTTCTCACACCATTGCAGGATTAGGTTCTTGAGGGCAAAATTTGGCGCCAGCGATAAGTGATCCAATGTCTGTCCTGTCTTTGGGCAGGTGCGGTGGTTCGAATCGAGCCACTTTTGTATGCTTACTCTTTCATAAGTCTTCAAAAGAAGGCAAGGAAAACTATCTCAGACCCCATGTTATGCATTTGAGAAAATCAAAATATGGTTGAACTTAAAAGCTTTCAGATTTTATTTTGACTTGAGGCAATTTTTTTTCCTGATTAAGTTTTCTGTTTAGATGATGACCAGAATTCAAACTGATGCTGAAACCATAACTTATGATCTTGCCCATGACAACATGTAATCCATGAAACCATATATCAAAATGTGCATATATGGTAACAACTAGTGGTACAAATAGTTCATATGGTCTACTTGAGATTACCTGTCCAGTTGCCACAATAATAGGATCAGTCATGATCTCCAATGTAATTGGACACAGAAATTCATGAGGGATCAACAAAGACTGGCACTTCCTTGGACTTCTTGTTGAAACTGGACCATCGAGCAAGAAGTCCTCATAAATGCCTGCAATTTCCTTGAACTTTCCCAAAAGATCAGTGATTTGTTGAATGCTTTCAACATTCTGCCTTAATGATCCTCTCGTAGCTAGCTTTCTAACAGCCACCGTTTCCTCTTCCAAGTCTGCAACAGTATGAAGTTCCAGCTTGTTGGCTAGTCTTTCCAGTATTGCACTATCTGCATTCCTGCCTTCCTTTTTCTGAGAGAACGCAACCATCATATCCATTGCTAGCTCCATGTCCTGTGTATCAGCCCGTCTCTGCGCCCGTCTGAGTTGCATTCGCATTAGCTCAACCTGAAAATTGACCAAGTTTGCAGCCACATCAGTGATTAATGGGCAAAGTACTATGACCAGAAAAACTCATGAGCAAAGTACGTACTCAAAAACTTATGTAAAGCTGGTGAATGGTAAACAAATCTTCCATTTGAGTATCTTGAGAAGGTACAAAATTTGAAGATGGCTAAAGGAAGCAACACAAGAAAAAGTTAAAAGGAAAGTAAGGAATCAAATTACTTGCTCTGTGACTTCAATTGAGATTCCAAGCTCATTATATGGCAAATAATCCAAAGCCTGGCTTAGTTTATCATAAACTGCATGAAATCTTCCCATCACTGCCTCACTTTCTAGCGTCTGTTCATGTTATAAACACAGAAACAAATAACAAAAGCATTAATATCAGAGCCCATCTAGTCAATTCAGAGAGAGAGAGAGAGAGAGAGAGTACTGACCAAGTAAATCTTGCTTCCACAGCTACAATTCCTCAACAACTTCTTGGCTGAAACAAGTGCTTCCTTCAAACTAGCCAAAGAATTCAAAGCCTTGGTGGTAGAAAGTATCAATATGTCCAATTCTCTCATCTCTTCCATAAGTGGCACCAACAGCTTCAACCTCCTCACCAAGTTCAAG